TTGAAAATAATATTTTTTTTTACTTGAATATTCTTTTTCGACAGATTTTCCAGATTAATCTTTTAATTACTTATGAAATTTTTTTATCTGATCAGGTTTTTTTTTTTATATTATCTTGAGAAATCTTAACATGATGTTGTTTCGGAACAAAACAAGAAAATTTTTCAAATATTCTAAAATGATAATTAAATATTAAAAAAAAAATTTCCTAATTTCTTATTTGTCTCATTGTTAAAGTTCGATTGAAATTGTTTAAACTTATATCAAAATATAAGTGAATAAATGCATTTAACATAGTTTTCGTTATTTTTTATTTAATAAAATATTGATCAAAATAAATATTTTATTTTAAATTTAACAATCAGAAATTTTGAACAAAAAAAACAAAATAAAACAAATCAAATAGAATAATTCAAATTGAAATTAATATTTAAATTGCAAATCGTTCTATGGTACACAATTAGTATTTAATTGATACGATCAATAATGACTAACAGTTGTACATCGAACGAAAGAAAACAAAATAAAAGCATTTATCCATAAAGAAAATAAACGAGAAACTATACACTGATTAACCTCGATTATTTTCTTTTATTCATTTAACCTATGTCGAATATGTTTTNTGTCCTAAAAATGAATAAACAAATTTATTAAGACCTTTAAAACTAGTGTTTTGTACAGATGTCGTTTTTTGCACCTTAACATCAATTTCATGTTTCGTTTCGTTCACTTATTTGTTGAAGAAGAAAATCGAAAAGTAATCAGTTAGAATGAGAATCTTATGCTCTTTACAAATATATATTTATAAACATTTTCCAACCTAAACTTAATAACCTGAGAGTAAATATTTGATGGGGATAAGAAAAAAACGACATCTGTACAAAACACTAGTTTTAAAGGTCTTAATAAATTTGTTTATTCATTTTTAGGACATTTAAATGTAATTGAAGAAGATAAAAGCTACTTGGTTAAAACCAATATTGAACATTATCTATAAATATATTTTTTTACAATTTTACTTTGACTTATAACAAGTTACTTGTAACTAAATACCTCAATAAATAGAAAGATGTTGTTTGCGCTACGAAAAGTAGGATTTTTTTCTATCATACGCAATTTATCTAAGGGGTATTTTTCGATAGTTTTTGCTTTCTATTCTTCTAGAGAATTTAATGTTCTATTAAATTATGTTTTGTAATAAGCTAGAGCTGAAAAGAGTCAAAATCTACAAACAGGTTTAGGCATGCTACTCTTTAGATTAGACGAAATATTTGAAAAAAAGCCTTTTTTTTCCGAATTTCGATATTTTAAATGAAATAAAATTCTGATAGTTGATAACGATATGTGGGAAGCAAAGAAAAGGACGGGGGACGGTTTGCACCTAAAACGACCCTAAATAAAAATCACTTCAGAACACTTTCTACGATTGAATTTCATCTTCCCCTATATAAGAATGAAGCGTTCTGAACCCTTTCAGAACATCCTTTGAGACCTCTACTCGACATTTCTAACAAGGACATTAGTACTATCGATTTCCCAATCTGGCTCATAGGTTCACCGTGACTCTTCACTACATGATACTCATACTTTTAGGGGAGATAGAACTTTTCGAGAGCTACAAAATGATCACAAAATGTAAAGGAATATCTGCTGTGTTCGAAAATTTCCGACGACCACACTGTTCGGATTCCACAGGAAAGCCAATGGATTTGATAGTATGGTCCATATGATTTCGACTATTGTTCCAGATACCATCGCCATTTTTTCTGTGCAGATAGAGCTTTTCAAGAGCTGTAAAATGATCACAAAATATAAAGGAAATTTTTTTGTATTCGAAAAATGTCACAGATCACACTATCGAATTGTTGTGAGAAAATCTATTGTCGAAATAGTATGGCGAACGAGTTTTGAATCTTCGATCATAGAACGGTTGTGAATATTAGAGTAGGTGATAGAAGGGGTTATAGGCATGAAACCGTTATGTATGTGGAAGGAAGCAAGGCTGGAGGAATCTATCGAGGATGGTTGATATGTAATAATTGAAGAGTGATTTTACGGATTGAGAGAAAGGATAGTAAACACAGAGAGATTGATATAGAAGATATGGTATACAGAGAGTTTGAGGTAGAGATTGCTATATAGCGAGGGAGAACGATGGAAGATATGTTGGATAGAGAGAGATTTAGAGATATGATAGGAGATTGCGAGAGAGAATGAGAGAGAATATGCATGGTGGAGAGTGATTTGGAGAGAGGATAAGAGATGGCAAGATAGATGCAGAGAAAAGATTTTCCTTGGACAGTAATTTGGAGCACAGGTGTTTTACTGAGGGAGAGAGAGATGTGAAGAAGAAATTTTTGTTAAAGAGAGCGATTTGTAAAATTTAATTTAGAGATAGCGAGGATAGCATATATGTGTCAGGCAAATTTGGTATTTAGGCAAGATTGAACCAATGATAAAAATTTGCCTTTTGAAAATATTGGATATATTTTTGCCTAGTCAAAAGTAGCTCTGTGCATAATTTAGATTAAACAAAAGATTAGTGTATAAGTATCAATATTCTTCATTATTTTGTTTTGAATTAGTATAGTATTACATCGAAAAAATCGTTTTGCGTTTGCTTGAGTAAAGATGTGGTAGGTGAGTTTGCAATCTAGTTTTGACAATGGGGACATGGGAACATTGATGATTGGTTAGATTTTTTTTATCTAATTTAATTTCGTTTGCAAAAAATATCTATTTTCTTCAATGATGGGGACATGGGGACATTGATGATTGGTTAGATTTTTTTCATCTAATTTTTTTTTTCGTTTTGCAAAAACTGTCTATTTTTTTTCAATGACGGGGACATGGGGACATTGACGATCGGTTAGATTTTTCTTTCATCGAATTTTTTTCATTTGCAAAAAGTTCGTATTATCTTCGATGATGGGAACGTATCAATTTCAGATTTTTGGTGAAGTTTTCCCAGGTCGAAAAGTACGGGCCTGTTCCGACAGGAAAACACCGGAAATCGCCGGAACATGGAGGCAGTATTCCAGCCGGAAATTTTTCGGATTTTTTCCGGTGAATTCTGACCAATTTCCTGTATTTTCCGGCAGGAACTGACCGGGAAATCATCGGAAAAAATTCCGAAAATTTCCGGTCGGAATACTGCCTCCACTTCCCGGTATTTCCCGTGTTTTCNATTGTCTGTAAAATTATAGATTTAGTCTGAAAGGATGTTAGAACTAAGTCTAAGAGAGAGTTGCTATATATATTATTAAAGACGAGACGTTATACTATATATTGCCTTAGTAAAATATTCAATATTTATTGCTTTATTAAATTTTAAAAACTGTGATCAGAACTTTTGGTATACCCTAAGTAGTTGTAAATAGGAAACGAACAGTGGCGTAGTCAGGATTTTTAGACCAATGGGCAAATCTCTCTTGAGCTAGAAAAACATGATGGGCGAAATGAGCAAGGTTTTCATTGATGGACTAAAAGTTTTTTGACCTAACCAAGTACTGATGACGTAAAAAAACACAAAAAAATGATACGAGATTCTTGTAATGAAATTTCCATAAAAGTCAGATCTTAAGCCTCCCCCCCCCTCCCGAAAAAAGTCAGTTTTCGTCAAAAATATGAAAGTTGAGATAAGTCTGTGAGAAGATAGTCCGAAGTCTGCCATTTCAAAAGAGATATAGCCTTTTACTTCGTACATCGTTTTACCAATAATTTTTGATGTCTTCCTCAGTACCTACTTGAAAAATAAGCTGGTTTTGGGTGAAATCGAAAAATCGTTTTCGTTTTTTCTCAGTTCATGATTTGTCGAACGCTCAAACCAAACTTCTCCACCCAGACTAATTATATAGGATGGTCCAAAAGTAATCGGGCAGTCTTTGATTGCGAATCACTTTTGATAGAAATAAGATAGAGAGTTGCAGTTTTCATCGTTTAAAAGAGAAAAAAACTGCATCGAATCTTGAACAACAGATTTTTATGACAATATTCACTCGGAGCCCCCAGAATTTTTTTGTAATAGAAATTATTGTGTAATGTGAAAGTTTTAGAATTTTAATTTTTAGTAGTGCATCAGCATCGTTAACTAAAGTTCAATAATCTGTGTAGGTTCAAAGTCAAAAAGATTTAGTAAATCATTAGTTCTTAACATTTTACTACGCATTCTCAGTAGATTCTTGGCGAAAAGCCAACGTTTTCTCTGATTTTTTGACGAAAAATCCATCTTTTAGACCGATTTAAAAAGCCTAAGTTTCTTAAAGAAACTTGTTTGAAAACCATGAGAAATTTTATTATAAAAATCCGGTATTCAAGATTCGATGCAGTTTTCTCTCTCTTTTAAACGATAAAAACTGCAGCTCTCTATTTTGTTTCTTTCAAAAATTATTCGCAATCAAAGACTGCTCGGTTACTTTCTAACCACCCTGTATGTATTTAATTCTTTTTGTTTGAAACAGCATGTTAAAACATGCGCCACCAAAGAGTCCTTCTTTTTAGTTAAGCTTTTTTTCTGTTATATGTACAATCGCTTTTATAAATTGAGCTCCATTTTTAGAGAATGTTTTGACTCATCAAACTTGTAATTTCTTCTCTCCTTTCAAGAGATAAAAATTTTAAAAAAATGAGTCTTTCGTGCCCTGCATCCTGACATGCTCTTTCAATCAAAAAAAACTAAATATATATGGGCGTGATCAACTGGCTTGGTACCCCGACGTTCATTTTCTTATATCACTTCAACCACTTATTAGAAAAATGTGATATTTTTACCACTTGTGCACCATATATAATGCTACTTATCCGCTACTAACTGAGTTCTATATACTACTAGGAATGATAATTTTAAAGGATGTCCTTATAATCATTACGCTAAACATACATCACAACATGTGCGTTAACATACAGCATTTCTTAGTAAGAAGTTTGAATCAATACAAAAGATCCAGCGGCATAGCTTTATTGTCAAGTACTTGATCAGAAAGTACAACTTATCATTTTGTTTATCTACGAATAGGATGTTTATTTAAGTTCAAATTACACTGAGCACAAACGACCTGAACGATTTTCGCTACTTTATGAAAGTCTCCAACAGCTCCTCTGTAAACACCGCCAAGAATAGCGTAAGTTTTTAGACGTTGATTGATATTTTCAATAGCTGCTCTTGCGCTATTGATATCACGATTGAAATCATTGTCTTCGTCGGTTAATTCCCGTCCGTGGGGTTTCTTTCTTGGAATGACTACATACTCTTCACCGATGCATCCTTTGTCAGCAATAATTTGCACAGAGTCGTTCACATGTTCTAACAATCCTGACTCTCTAAGAACCGTAATATCATGTACACTCTCATGATAGCATTCGGACACATGTATTATTCGATGACGAAAATCGCAAGCTATTTGAACTTTTAATGTATAATTTGTTGAACTTTTTGCATGGTAGTATGCTTTGCGTTGATCCAAATTATCAGGTTGAGGAATTGTGATAAAAGTTGAATCAACTATTAATTTATGATGTTCTTCGGGTCCGTGTAGTATTCTTCTGTTATCCATGCCAGCAGGAAATGACATTAATTCTGGATATACACAGGAATGTAAAATATCCACAACTGCTGATAAGAAATAGTTGACTGCTGATTGACTTAAATCCAATTCTGAAGCAATATAACGTTCAGAATGATAATGCTTTAAATGCCATAATGTAACCACAAGCAAATTCATAGGAGATAAATATGATGTGGCAGCACTATTTGTATGTCGATAGTTCTTGTGCGAACAATAATTTATAAGTGCTTCTTCACACATAGAATACAATTCTTGTATTTGTTCGACATCATGGCCGGTATGTTGTATGCGCGATGCATCGGTACGTTTCCATTCTGACCAAGGACGTTGTTCTACAATAGATAAAAAATGCAGGGGTGATTCTTTTTTGACTATTCGTGTAGCACAGAATAACCGACTGAGAGATGCATGCGTAGACCGAGAAAATTAATATTACTTACCATCATTTAAAGCTTGAAAGTGCTGTTGAAGAGCAACTTCTTTCTCTTCTATTTTTTGTTGCCTCTCTTCTTCAAGTTCTGGTGTACAATAACTACAACTGTCACGATGACGATAGTAATGCGTGTGCAAACCAGATTTTCCTGCGCCAGTACATGTCCAGGATAACATTGAATGACAATTGGTACAATATTTTCGACGATCTGTTGGACCAGATTGACATTGAGAACAATCCCATTCAATTTGTGGAGAAAACATAATCCAAATGTAGTAAACGTTTCTTATTGAGCAAAAGAGTGATAAAGGAAACGAAGAACGAAGGAAAGTAAAAAAATCGCAGTTACGACAAGCGTGATTTAACTAGTGCCAAGCGATGTCAGAATGGATAAAATAGTATCGCGCATGGAATGTATATTGAGAAAAAGATGTAAATAAATAATATGTCAAGTGTGTTTAATCCAATGATTCTAAGGACGTACTTACCGTACTTAGCAGTTCTTACTTTTAGTACTATATATATCTCAAATAGTGACAGATCAATAGCATTATAGATAGAGTACAACTGGTAAAAAAATCACATTTTTCTAATAAGTGGTTGAAGTGATATAAGAAAATGAACGTCGGGGTACCAAGCCAGTTGATCACGCCCATATATATTAAATCAAAAAATTATTAATAAAGCTGAGAAATTTTTATGAAAAAGCTGAATTTCGAAAAACTTTTCTTCAAAGGAAAAAAATGTTTTTTCTTTAGCGAATATCCTAAAAAACCTGAGCTTTCAAACAAAAAAAACTGAGCTTATCTTTTACTGTGGTAGAATAGTACTGGAGACGTGTCGCCGAAAAACAGTTGTAAGAAAAGACAACTTTTTTTAGAAGTAAAATCATCGTTGATAGCGAAAACCTCGCTTTTAAGAAGGACACGGTTCAACATCATTATGTTAATGAAAGAGCACATCAGATTATCGAAACATACCTGTTCTGCAACAATGATTTATTGACGACGCTGAATTTCTTCAAGGGTCTTAATCACATTTTTAGCTATTTCTAACTTCTCTTTCCATCCAATTGCAAGCAATACGTATTTTTGCTGCTGGTGAAATCATAGATTGGTCTCTCCGACTTCAGATTATGTAGAATTTAAACAGGTCTCTGGTTATCAGTTAAAATCTTCGGTTTCTACGACTCCGACTCAGTTCACCGTTCCATTTTTTTTACAGAACTGCAGGGCCCTAATTGGATGGTATTGAGTAAATGCAACATGCTAATTTCGATAAAGTTGAAAAAGTTTTTCATATTCTTACCAAAATGATAATGGACTTAAATAATCATTGCCTTTATCTCCTTTGAAATCGGTATAAATATCAACTTTAACTGTTCTTATTATTGTAGATTTTTTAAAATTACTTCATTATCCATCAATAGTTCGAGAGATTTTAGAGTGTGAGTGTAGAAAGGATTTACACGCACTTACACTCTATTGTGCCACTTAAACACGGGGAAACTTCGGGGATTTAACTTAACCCCGTCCCGCCTCGCCCCGTCCTGTTGCGACCTCTCCCCACCCCGCCCCGACCCGACAAAAATGTGCCCCGCCCCGATTCCCCGCTCCGTTTCAGTCTCTGTATTGAATATCTAGGAACGATAAAAAACAATCAAAAGAAAATATTTTCTAATGAAAGTCTTGAATATTATTTTAGTTCAAGTTGATTATGTCCGAAAGATTATTTATAGTTTTTCTATATTACAATCTTGATCGATTCCGTTGGTTTCTGCTTGTGATTTAAATAGTTTTATTTGTCAAAATGATTTTATTGTATTGATATGTTAAAATTTGAAATATCCATATCGAGAAAATATATTTTAAAGAAGTTTCAATGAATTGAAAGTTAAAATTTATTTGAATGATTTTTTTATTAGTAAGTAGAAGAGTTAAACAATGTTTATATATGATTAGTCGAGACAAAGAAAAAGATCAATATGGATTAAAAAACATCAATTATATAAATGTTCAATTATTTCTTAATTTGCTGATATAATTAAAAAAAAACAACAGAAATAAAATAAAGTAATTTTTTTTCTAAAATCAAAATGTTCTCTTTTTAAGGTATTATATCTATTGTCCGAGAAAAAATAAATAGGCGACTGGTCACTTTTTGAATAGCTTTTGATAGGAACAAGATAGAGAGAGCCACAATTTTCACCATTTGAAAAAGTAACGTTCAGGTCATCGATCGGTATAGAACACATTAAGACGAAATATGATTTTGTTATAGATATATTTCAATGAGTACTTTTTCCTTTCAGTATTTTCACAATAATTTCAACTCAGATTATATAAAAATGTAGTTCAAATCATCTGTTTTCCGCTATAAAATTAACAATTGTTTTCTTTAAAATCCGCTTAGAATAAGAGGTTGAGAAATAATGAAATGAATAATTATTTTATAGTGAAAAATAGATGATCTGAGCTACATTTTTTCATATAATTTGAGTTGAAATTATTGTGAAAATAGTGAAAGGAAAAAGTGTTCATTGAAATATATCTATAACAAAATCATATTTCGTCTTAATGGTGTTTTATACCGATCGATAGCCTGGACATTGCTCTTTAAAATGGTGAAAATCAAAGTTCTCTCTATTTTGTTCCTATCAAAAGTTATTAAAAAAATGTCCAGTCGTCCTTTTATTTTGTTGTGTTTTTTTTGACAATAGTAAATAGTTCGATATGTAGCGTCCTCTATACACATAAATAGTATATGGTAGAGGTGTTCATTGTTAAACAATTATTGTATGATGACACCATTTAAAACGAATAGAAAAATCATAAATAAAATCGTTTTATTTATTTATAATATTGAATAAAGTTAAAATAATAAAAATGTCATCATCATCAAGTTCATCTCGTAACAATCGTCATAATAATAATTATGGTCGACAAGATTATGATGATAAAGATCCATCAGCTAGTCAGTTGAATGATTCAAATGAAAATATAGTTCATATTAAATTTCTTTTACCTGGAACAACAACAGGAAGTGTTATTGGAAAAGGTGGTGAAAGAATAGCTTCTTTACAAAAAGAAACAAATACAAAAATGAAAATGTCTAAAGCTGGAGTAAGTTTTATTATTATTTTAAATATATAATTCAAATAATAAAATAAATATTTTTTAAAGGATTATTTTCCTGGAACACAAGAACGTGTTTGTCTTGTTGTTGGAACAATTACAAATGTTTTATCTGTTTATGAATTTTTATCAGATAAAATAAAAGAAACATTTCCAGGTGATCTTATTCGATCACGTCAAATTAAATTAATTATTCCAAATGCAACAGCTGGAGTTATTATTGGAAAAGGTGGTTCAACTATTGAAAATATCAAACAAGATACTAATGCTTCACTTACAATAACACCAAAATCTGATATGTCGGAAAGAGTTATGACTATTACTGGTATTTTCATTTTTCTTTTTGTTTTTGTTTTTGTTTTATTAATTTATATTTAATCGCCTTTTTTTAAAGGTGAAGATGAAATTCGAACAAAAGCTTTGGAAATAGTTTTAGAAAAAATCTTAGAAGATCCTCATCATGATAGTGTTTCAAGTGTTAATTATTCAAATGATAAAATTCCATCAATTAACCCTCCATCAATTATAAATGATATTCAATCATTTCATGATCGTATGTATTTATAAAAATAGATCTTTTTTTTTTTTAACTATTGAAAACAATAGATTTATATTTGATTAAGACTATAACAAATTGTTTATTAATATTGTTTCACAGTAAACACATTCTATAGAATCGAGATCAATGGTTTTTTTTCTTCGAATAGTTGAGTAAATCGAAATTTGAAGTGTAATATAGATTAGAATTAAAATATCTTATCTCATTCATGTTTAATTGAGCGTTTAACCAAGAAAATATGTTGACTCAATGAATAATAAAAATATAAAATAAAAGTATTAGAAACAAATAGAAAAATAATAAAAAAGATTTTGAATATCTAATTTAACTTTATTCTCGTAAAATATTCAATTGAATATAAAGATGATTAAGCATTTAAAATTTTTATTTATTTAAAATATTGACTCTAATATCAAATAAACAATTGATTATAAGATAACAATAGTCAAATTTTATTTCCTATTTACTGTTAACAATAAAACTTATCGATTTGTCTATCTACCTCAAATTATACTGTTTAACATAATATTTTTACGAGAAATTTCAATGGTTTTTTGTTTTGTTTTTATCTTTATTTTGATGAATTTCTATTAAAAAAAAAATCAAACTTAAATATATAATTTGATAAGATGGAATACATGGAAAAATGAATGGTTTAATATCAATGAATTCCTCATCAAATATTTCTCTTCAATTAAGTGGTTTACAAAGGTTAGCACAATTAATGATTAATGCTGGTGGAACAAGTCATATAACTGTTGATTCACTTGTTGTAAGATAATTAAATAATATATATATAAATAAATAAAATAATAAATAAATTTGTTTAGCATTCATTACAATCACTTGGTTTTGTTGATCCACATATAAGAGAAATAGTTCAATCAATAACAACTTTAATTAATTATGGTTTAATAACAATTGAAAATCCCTCTCGAACAAATATTTATTCTCCAACTGGTTCAACTCATCATACAATATTTCCAATAAATCATAATAATTATTCATTATCACAAGTAATTTAATTATTCATTTTTATTTATTTTATTTTGTTATTTTTTTCTAAAGCGTGATCGTCAAGATAATTATTCTCGAAACAGTACCGATATGGATTATAAAAGATTTAAATCTGATCAACAACGAACAACTAAAACAAAACGATAAAAAATTCGTTATTGTTTATTTCTTTTAACATTGTACATTTATTCTGAGTCGTGTTTCGTTTCGTTTTTTTTTTTTTTCTTTTGTAAATAATTATTCCTTTAAAGACAATGGTTTTCTTTTAGGAAACATTAACCAAAACAAATAAACACAAATGAAAATTTATTTGACTGCTTAGCTGTCATTTGTGAGTTATATAGTAATCCAACCTTTAAATATGATCTTCGTTCTTTTTTCTTTTTTCTTTTTTCTTTTTTCTTTTTTTGTATCATTTATTCACGTAAAACAGAATTTTCAAAAATAAACTTTTTTTCTCTTCTTTATTAATCTATCGAATATATTAATCATATTCATTTTTATTTTCAAAATCTCAATTAGTTTTCAGGAAAAGTTGCATTTATTATCAATAGAAAGTATATTATATTGATATATCTATATATATATATATATATTATTTTAAAGAAAAACAAACTTCAATCGATAAATTTATTGTTTAAAGGCAAAATATATGTTCAATTCACTTCACATATATAATAGAATCCATATAATCGCCCTGATGGATATCCATGCATAGATTCCCGGCAAAACAGGCGTGTTTTCGCTGTCAATGAGAAAAAGACGAAAGTTTTCTAATATTAGGAAGGAGATACTCCACCGTGGCTATTTGTGCGCCTTCTTCTAAGCCATCAAAAGAATTGTTGGATAAGTCAACAAGTAAGGTCTGTGATCTTACGGTATTGGCTGGGAATTAGTACAAAAACTAGTTTGTGAAGGAATGAAAAGCCCAAGTTTTTCTAATAAAGCAACGATTTTTTTTGCTTTTCCATGGTGCAGAGCTGAAGTGGAGCGGTTCCAAAAAGTTTGGACCTAAACCTGAGCTGAAGTGTTTAAAGGTCGAAGCTATGTTTAGCTTTGCAACTTAAATGATTATTTTTTTTTCTTTGAACATAAGTTATATGATGAATTTGGCTTAGTTTCATTTCAGGTAGTTTTTTGTTTAAGTTATAAAAAGAGAAAAATATGTATTTGTAAATAAATTTTCATGATAGAATTATGTTTAGATTTATTGATATGGATGAATTTAAATAAGGCAGATATTTTTATTTTGTTCAATCACGCATATATATATATATTAAAAATTTTTTTACCTGGGGACATCGGGACATTGGGTGATCGATGAAAATTAAAACATTTAAATAGATTTTATTAAAAATCGGTCCGATGTTTTCAATTATTTTTTTATTACTTCGAGGACATACGGACATTGAATGATTGATGAAATTTATAGAAATATTTTCTTTTTTGTATGAACTGTATGCTTTCGATTTGTTTGTTTTTGACGATGGAGATATATATAAATCAGATAAGTGAATAACGATCGACAAAAATATTCCAATGATGTATATCATTTTTATGTTATTCGATCTTATTATATGAATGATATATAGAATACATATGGGTGTGGGTGTGACTGAGGGTGTCGGTATCGATATTTTCTACAGTCACATCCACACCCCGTGACACCGGCGGCTCAGCTGTACGGCTTACATCTCTAATTGTAACACATCATTGATTTACCATAGATGACTCTATCAATGATCTCTAAATTACAGCTAGAGCACTACAAGTACTCAACATTTATGATTATCATAACACAGCCAAAATAAAAGAGAACTTCATGAAATTCTCAGCATGGTTATATTGTGTCATAGTTTCACGAACCTTGCTATTGCGGATCCCAATTCATGTGCTGCAAATTTTGAAGGCATACAGAAGTCTTGAAGTAGTCTTAGGAGAGACTTCATGGTTTTTGAGAGAAAGAACAGTAGGTTTTGAGATAGCAGTAACAAAAGAGCAGGTAGTCTGGTTTAGAGCAATGTTTGTTATGTTATACAGATCTAAAGAGGTGTTCTATCAATAGAAGAAACCGAACTTCAAGCCATCTGAAGACACCTTCCAGTAAGGTCGAAATCGTGATCACGTTGTCTCTAACTCACTTCTAAATAGATAGTCTTTCTTATGCCATATGCGTTCTATTCACAGCAGAGTGATGTAGGACGATGCCAACAAAACACAACACTTTCGGCCACCTTGGAACGGTACGTAAGCGAGATCAAAAGATTGGTGAAAGCGAATTTTCTCGTCTGTAGAGCAAATATGTTAATATTACTCGAGTGTCATAGGCCTCAATATTTTCGCATACAAAAATACACAATCTCTCTTACGATTTCATCTAAACATCATTCTTTTATTTTCAAAGAAAATCAAAACAAAAAATAAGAGCAGTCATAAATGAATACGAAAAAACAATTTCTACTAATGTACTAGATAAAAAAATCAACGAAACTGAATCTCTCCTTGTCAAATATCAATACTTATCAATAATAAACCTTCAGTTTCTATCTCTTTGATTCTCAATGATTATTCTCATAATCTCATAATCGTCAGGAAATTTTTTTTTATGTGGCTGCAAATGAATATTTAACATGATTCGCATCATCATTCATATTCTTCATAAGTTCTAATAAAAAATAATGAAGTGCTCAGGGCGTCGCTATTTGATCAATAATTCCAGCTATCCGTTTATCTTTATAATTAACAAGTGTCTTGAAATTCGTAAATGGTTTACAACGAGTTGATGAGGCATTTTTATTTAATTCTTGAAGAACCCATAATCAGCATAATTGATTAATGGCTTTGAGTTCGATGTTAGTGTATATGTTGGAAATTTATCAGGTCGTGCAATAGTATCACGTATATTAATGCCATCGATTTTTGAATAGAATATCGATAAATAAAAATAATTAGCCATAGTCAACGAAAGAATTTTTTCTGAGACAGAAGAACGACAAAATGATTCCAATGATGTTTTATTTACTTTGTGGTTTTGAAAAAAATATTGATTTTCATCAATACCATCAATAATAAATACAATTATTTTTTTAATATTTTTTAATAAATGATGAAAAATCTATTAAATCTCTCAATACATAACCAAACATTGTTTTCTGCATTGATTGATGTTGAAAGTCTTCACCTTGAATAATGTCTCATAATAAATAAAGTTTTTAAATATTTTTATTTAAGATACTAAATTCATTGAAATCAGTTTTAAGATGAGTTAGTAATTGTTCGTCTCGAAATATATTTCTTTCTTGAATTTGTACTCGAACTTCACTTGCTTTATATAATGATCGCTGTGTTTTTTGCAAAAACCCTATTTAGAAAGCCTTCCAATTGGTTGATAATATCTCCATTATAGTAATAACATATGATAGTTACCAAATTGATTTTTTCCTCGATTCGAATATCTATAAACTTCATTTCTTTTTACGAATCGTCTTCAATAAATTTTGTTACTAACACTAATAGCATTAATTGGGTAAATTCATTGTCAGACTAGTCTGTTGAATAACTACGACTCGCATGCAACGGTCCCAATGAAGTGCATTGTATAGATCATATTTAACTCTCTCCTACGATATATATTGGTCCTTGACATCGTCCTTGCTTTTTTGTTGTTGCTTTGATGTCCTTGTCTTTCCTCCTCTTTCATTCTCTCTGACGCTTGCATATATAAACATGTGCTTTTGATCAGAGCGATTCGATTGTATGGTATGAAGGATTATAATAAAGTGTACCTCCATCCACACTAATATTCCTTCTATCAGAAATCGTCACAATGGCTCGTTCAGTAAAGTAGTTTTTTATCCATATAAGATATGAGTATGGACAATTTAATCGATGTAGTTTTAATAGAAGTCCTTCTTGCCATAACATATCGAAGACTAGTAAAAGTCAATAAATACTACTGGTGTAAATGTTTTGTAAAGTAAGGATGTGTATGTCTGCTCGAGGAGATGGTTAACCCGAGAGACTGTACATTGTCCAATACGATGATGTTGTTTGTGGAGAGGCGACATGGATGATGAATTGGTTCCAGGTATTTGCGGGATGTTGTTTTAACTCACGTTGAATTACTTTATGCCACAAGCGAAGACTAAGTCTCTCTTCTTCGGTTCTTGTATGTCGGTATCGTTTTTGTAAATAATGTTTGTGCTTAATCATCGTTCTTATGGCTTCAGTAAGAGAAAGTTGCCGTTTTTTTGTCGAGTGCCAAGTTGTTGATCGAATTTGTAAGGCACTAAGAAAAATGTTGAAACATCTGAAACCATTCGTAGGGTTGCATGTTTGATTCGTGTGTAGTATGGTCTATTTCTGAAGATAAAATAGAAAGCATGGTGGTGTATAGATTCCAATTGATTTTTTGTATATATTGTTGCTCGTGTTTTAGAACAATATCATTATATTCAGCGAGAATCGGAAAATGATCGCTTCCGTTGTATGAAAGCTGTTGACCTTGTACTGCAGCTTCATGCTCCATTGAGATAACTAAATCGATAGTTATTTTTGAGCATAGAGATGTTTTCATTGCCGAATTGTGAATATGTAATTTCTTTAATTTTAACCAGTATTCAAGTTCTTGATCTTTTTTGTTTATTTGTGTGCATTTCCAAGTGTTATTCTTTGCGTTAAAATCACCTAGTATGATGTTTGCCTGAGAATTTTGCAAACTTTCGAAAGCATTTGAAGTGGTAATTTTTCTTTTGTCGGAGAATATATCGATGTAATTGTGTATGATTTGTTGTTTACTAACATCGAAGCAGTGATAATATTTGAATATTGTTGACAATCAATAGATATAGATTTTAATTGTTTGTCTATGGCTATAACTGCGCCGCCATATATGTTGGCGCCTTCAGCTTTTAACACATTATAGGAAAACAAAATTTTTGCAATTATTTGTGTAGGAATTGTTTGCCTAATTCGTTTAAAAAAATTACGGCAGATTTATACTTTTCAATCATGTCTATCAGGTTGCATTCATTGGTATAAAAGTTTCTGATGTTATAGTGAAGAGTGGTTAGCTTGTAATCATTTTGATCTGGTTTTTGATGTTGTTGCTTCCATTTGTTAAATAATTCAGTGCGTGAATTTGTCTAACATTCGTCATTAATAATTTGATAACCTATACGAATTGTTGCTTCATTTAAGCCTGCTGCTGCATTATTTAATTGTTGTTGTAATTGATTTTCATTTGTACATATTAAACTGAATCATTCTATTGAGCGTTATTATTAATGGTCTTTTGAATTTGTGTCAATTTAGTTGTTTGTAGTTGTTTTTTGTGTTGAAGTGTTTGAAAAATTGTCGAGTTCTATGCGTGAAATAAGTTGTGTATCGTTTCTCTGCATGATGTTGTTTGTGGGCGTTGATGGGCGAGTAGTTGATCTTTGGATTCTAAAATATTATCAATAATTTTAGATAACTCACCATGCACCAGTAATATTGCATTTACGCGCGTTTTTCAAGCTTTCGCGTTTGACTGGGTAGAATTATTTGTGATCTCTTTATTATATTTCTAAAAATTTTTTGAGATTTCTTAAATAATTTGTCGAGAAGATATAAAAATACATAACGTTCAACAATGATTGATTAATATTAGACTTCTGCAAAATGGTCACGGTCACGGTCTCTCGTGACCGTGATCGTGAATAGTTTTCGAAAAATTGCCGTGACTGGAATCGTGACCGTGGCCAAATAGCTCGTGATCGTGACTTAACGGTGATAAATTTTTATAATAAAATCTGATTTTTGTGAAAAAATATCAAGATTTTAATTGATTTACGGGTTTTCTTTGTTTTATTACAGAGTAAATCTACGAAATCAATTTAAATCTTGATTTTGTAGCACAAAAATCCAACCAGTAATCCAAAATTTCCGTGACTATGAATGTGACCAGGCACTTCGTGACCGTGACGTGACGTGACTGAAAAATCTTGGTCATGCAGAAGTCTAATTAATATAGTCTTTGATAAATATCGAAATATGTTGAATCTTAAAGAATGATTTTTAGAGAAGCGAAATATTGAAAAGTGAATTTTATTGAAAAAATACAAAATCAATTCCTCAATAAAATATTTTTAAAAATGTTTTAATTGTTCAAAAAGTGATTTCCATTGACTTGTGGATCGATAGAAAACAGGTGGTTGCCCAATAGGTGCATATATTTCATATACATTTCTGTCATAGATTTTGCTTGTCCAAATATGTATCCATTGTCCATCCGGAATAGATACTTTCCATTTGTCAACTTCACTTTCAACAACTGGTGCCATGAAAAGATCATCACCGAAAAAATATTGTAATTCTGTATGATAAATAAGACATGATTGTTGTTTATCATAAGCGTTTTGAACAACATGTTTGGAATAAGGCTTTAAATGAGCATGAATTCGACTCATTCGAGCAAAAAATTCTCGACATATTTTATCATTATCAAATTGTATATTTGAAGTAGGTCGATTTCCTTCATGTGTACGCATAACAACATTAAATGTTGCCATTTCACACCAACGTAAAAGAACTTCACGAGAACGTCCAAATGTTCGACCAAAGTATCCTCCAATATCTGTATGAACACTAAGAACATTACTTAATGATAATGAAAGACATGAACGAATTCCAGCAGGAAGACCAGCATCAGAAGAAAAATTGACTGATTGATCACCAGACCAGAAAAGTGAACAGAATCGTTGTACATTTAAATATCCACTGCGCATGAAAAAAATAATTTGATCCAATTTTCCAGCATCTCGAATAGCTTCATAATTGCATCGTGCCCATAGTACAGGCCAAAGATTATGTATTAATCTACCAGGTATATTAACATGAAGACGAACATTACATGGAAGATATTCACCAAAATCAGCCATCCAACCAGATATACCTAAATCAATTAAATTTGTTTTTATTACTTTCTTATACCATTCGAATGCTTGTGGATTAGTTAAATCAACAATTGCTCCGTTAAATTCACCAAAATCAATCATATAAACTGTATTTTCACAATCAAATCGTTTAACAAGAAAATCTTTTTCATTTGCTTCTTTAAATAATAAACCGTCAACAGCAATGTACGGATTAATATAAGCTAAAAATCGACAACCATTATAATCACGTTGCCATTCGATAATTTTTTCTTTTAAATTCGGATACCAACTTTCATTCCATTGCCAATTCCAAAAGACTCGTTTTCCGAATGATGTTATTCTTTGTCCACACCAATCTTGTACCCAAACACCGGCTATACGTGTTTCACATTCATGCATTGTACGTAGTTTTTTATCGATAACATCTGTACCACCTTGTACACTTAAAATAATTCCATCATGCAACCATTCTGCTAATGGTAAATATAAACGAGAAGTTTGATAATGATTGTTAAGACTCAATTCTAATCGATAAGGAATAGCAGTAAAATGAAAACGATGAAAATTTGTATCAGAAAAATCAAATTGAGCATAAGCAGATCCATAAGCACAGAATGTATAACCACGTGATGAATTAAACATGGGCTGTGGATGATAGGTTGTATGTAATGAAGGATGATGACTTGAATTAGTATCATCGTTTAGATGTAATTGATCATGATCCCATTCTGATACCCATATTGGTAAAATTTTTCCTCGAAGATCACCACTTGCATACTGAAGACCACAACCACGTACAGTTTCTTGATCGAATGGTAATGCTTCTAACGAAAACCATAGATTTATTTCATCACTATCATCAAATGTATTTTCATTACGTTTAATTATTTCGTCATCTTCGATTACTGATCGAATATAATTTGATGTTGATGTTTGAGGAAATTCAATTCGTAATCCATTATCATTTATAATAAATTTTATTCGAAAATCGTATAATTTGTTTTCATCGACAAATAAAATTTCATATATTTTATATGCATTGATCTCTTTAACACTTTGTACTTGAAGGCTTGTTTTATTCTGTATTTCATGTTTCATACTAAAATGACCAAGACGCATATTGTACGAAGATTGACATGTACCGACATAGAACAGAGGTTGTTCTCGTTGATGTATAAGAATAGGTTGACCATTTAAACGAATAGTAAAACCATCGGGTGGTTGCAGACAAAACTCCATTTTTTCTTTGTCGGTTTCAAACATTAGAAGAGTCAATTCTTATCGTCAGTCAATAAACACACATATATATATAGTCTTATCTTTGCCGTTTATTACATATGAACTAATTTTATATATCTCATTGATTTAATCAATATCCCAATTAAAGGATTAAATTATTAAAAATTTTCAAGGCTCTAAAAGAAAAAAAAATATATCTTGCCAAAAACAGTATTTTATAGTATTAAAAAAAAGTTCAATGTACATATAAATGGTTAAATCGAAGAATAGAATCAACAACAACTTTAACTTTCAAGGAAATCGAATTTAAATTAAAAAAAAACAACATAAAATTCAGCATCCAATTTAAATTGTTGATAGCAACCATCATCGAGGTTCTTAGTTAAACATTTTTATTAGAATTAAAAAGATATATTTTGTTACTTTTAAACATTCATTAGCATTTTATTAAAAAATAATCCTCATAAAAACTTTAGCTCCATATGTTGAACTAGATCGAACCTCCGACTTAATTCTAGTCCATTTTTGGCTTTCAGAAAAATTCTTCTAACTTCAATTTTAAAAATCGCTTCCATTCATTTTTTATAATCATTTTAGTACATATGATATTATCCTTCTGTGGACGGAAAGCACAAATATGTGCTTCGGTTCTGACTCAATCAGTATGCAACCTAGGCATTTTTCTTATGAGCCTAAGTCATTAAAGGTGCGCAAAAATCTGCGATTTTATTGTGATTTATAAGACCGAATAAATCATTTAAACAGTACCGATTTTCATAAGGAATCCCGATTAATCTACAAGCTTTTTATAAGTTAATGAATTAGTAATTGTAATCAATTTTTCATAAAAGAATCTCCAATAAGTTCCTCAAAACTTCCCGAGGAATCACGACAGACATTTCATGAAGATTTAACGGATTTTCTTGAAAATCTAGTAAGATAAATATGACTGTAGTAAAATTTGATATACGAGATCGTTTGTTGTTGTATTTCATGAACTTCTCGTAAATAAGTGGGATAAATTTTTTTTCCCTATCCCCGTAAATATAGAAATATAATATTTTATTCAATGATACTTAGCGATAAAATTATAGTTGATATTAGTCTAAATAAAAAAAAAAGAACGTAATTTATTTTTTTTAAATAATGCTTACTGATGAAATTGATGTTACGATTAGGTATGCACCAGTACCAGTTTATAACTGGTAACTGGGTCCCTGTGGCACTGGAAACCCAGTTAACTGGGTATATATTTAACTGATCTATGATTTATTAAATCATCGATAGTTTTTCTTGTGTTAGTACGTTACAATTATCTAATTCCGATATCTTTAACATATTGTTAAGAATCCAAATTTTCATCAAAGAAGGTGTGTCAAATTACGAACTTGACGTCTCAAAAAATCTTAACTTAATTTTATTATTCTAAGAATCCGCGTTGATCCTTGATCATTTTTCACAAGTTTATTTCGCACTTTCTCAGAACTCAATTTTTTCATACCTGGGGGTTCACCCAGGGATTGAAAAAATTTTTTTATCATCTTTCTATTTGATGTCTTTCCAGTTTCATAGAACTCGGTGTGCTGATTCCAAATATCATATTTTTTTAAAAATTAGTTGGAAAATAAGAAACAGCTGGAGCATTTTTTTGAGAGTCCTAAAACCAGCTTTAGACATTATGATCTGTAAAAATCTTATTTATGTTCGATAAAAATAGGCTCCTTTGACGGAGAAGTTTTTTTTCTATCTGGATCTATAAGAATATTCAAGATATTCAAATCTTTGTCTATCGATAAATGCTGAATACCGTCCCGATTGGGTCATATTGCTACAAAAAGTGTTTTTTTCTCGGAAGAATTTATCATTTAAACGGGCGTATCAGGGAGATATTGTTACCGAATACGTAACTCAATGTGCTCTTTCTGATGATAATATTTTCAGCTTCAAACTCGACGTCTGATGAAGCACTTTTGTCCCCAATACTATGCTTGACACTGAGTTTGTGCCTTTTTTGACTGATATTCGACGATTTTCGAACACAATAGTTCGTCTTTCACTTGAAACAAATATCATATTTGGAATCAGCACAAAAATCGGAGTCGATCTATATATATTTCGAATTGTTTCTCCGACTTTTTCCCGGTCAAATTTTTACTCCTGATACCCTTCACGGATATGTAAAAAAATAAATTTAATCAAAAACTGATATGGACTAGGTATGCACCAGTGTTAGTTAATTGGGTACGAGTTGGACTGGGTATATATTTAACTGATCTATGATTTATTGAATCATCGGTAGTTTTCTTTGTATTAGTATATTACAATTATCTACTAGTAGTTCTAGTATTCTTAACATACTGATAAGAATTCAAATTTTGACCAAATTTAGTGTTCTTCTGTTATTAACGACCTAATTACCATATCACCACTAATTATCAAAATATACGTATATGAAAATAATCAAATACACATTGAGTAGGAATTGATAAGATGGTGGATAAAGGCGATTTTCCTAGAACTCCAAATGGTCGAATGTTTGTCTTCGATACTTCTATTAAATTAACACAATTATCAATATTTTCTTGAGTTCGAGGTTCAGGACAAGTTGTTTGATATTCATGCCATGAATAGAGGATATGGCGATGTATATTACAATGTGTGCCTTCGAGAAGGCATCGTGTGCATGAAAAATAATCTGTATGACCGGATAAAAGACTATATTTTGATCTCCCAGGCAAATCACCAACAATTAGTTGAACATTTATGTTAAATGGTCTGACACGTATAGAAATAGAAAAGAGAAGCAAAATGATTATTTTAAAAATTATAGAAATATGTTATAGATTACAATAGTCGGGTATTGCTGAATACGTTACATGAGTAGGTAAAAGAAGATCTATAAAATTCAGAGTGCATGAAACGTGTATGCTTTATTTCGTATTCAGTTATTTGTCAATCTAATATTGCATAACTGTTGATTATTATCATGTTCTGCTCAACTACGACTAATCACATCGAATTCAATTGCACAATATATTAAAAAGGATTAAAAAGATAAATCTCATATTTTTATTTCTAATTTTTAATAATCATAACACATCTTGATGATCATTTTCTGCATGTCTGTAATGCAATATACATCTAAACTGAAGTTTTTCAAGTCAATAACCGCTACAAATCAGGGATAACGTCACACATATTATTACATACTATCGACGTTTCCACTTAAATAGTTTATGTTATGCAAAGCTATCTTGAAATGATCTGATTGCGAACAGTTTTTTTTTAGTGATTGATACTTATCTTTTTCACCTAAATTAATAAGAAGACCATAAGTTTGAAGACGTTTTATTGTTTTCACAATATTTCCTAAAAGCATATCAGCTGTTGGACTGTTTGTTGAATGGTACAAGGCAAATAGTATCACATTACGTTGATATTCACGTGCAGGTGGTAGAATTTCTACGATAGTGCAGAGAACCTATACCAAAATAGTTAAGAATAATTTTTATCATCAACATAAAATCACTTGGTTATATTTTTTCCCTACCATTGACGCAAATTACTAATTCTATTCCCATTTCTAAAAAAACTTGTTTTGTTTAACTCTTTTGCGTTCGATGTCAAACTAAATTTGCAGATTAATGATGCTCGAAACGTACTCTTCTACAATTAGCATAAACATTTCAAGACCAGAGGCTGAAGAATAGATAGTCTTTTGTATCAAACAATTCTATCTTACTTTCATTGGATTCTTTCTAAATTCATTGATGGATTTAATTAGATAATGATATCTGTAGAACATACTCTAGACCCTTTGTCAGTACAAAATGAGCATCTTTATAAAGGAATTTGTAGATATAGCATCATTTTGCAGCAATCGATTCAATTGACAGCAGACAACAAGGAATCATATTGCGGAAAGATGTATATTGTGTTATACGCGAAAAGAATGCTCAACTTCCTGTTCTTAAAGAAAAATCTTATTTTGCGGTAATTATTCTTTTTGTAAATTTTCAAATAGAATATTGTTAAGGCTAGCTGCACATTAAAACTGAATCAATTACAGGCCACATGGAGCTTCTTGAAGATCTAAAAGTTGGTTTCCCATCAGTTACTAGCAGCAAAGTTATAGAGTTTTTTTTTCATTACTTTTGTATACATCACCTAAAATGAAACTTATTTAGTTTCAAATTAATAAGATAAATAGAACACACCATTAGTGATATCATACATAAACTCATGTCGATAATTAGCAAAAAATTCTATTAGGTCGAAATTCATTTTCACAACTTGACGAATTTCATCGGGAATAGAGAATAATATAAGTTCTATATTCATATTTTGATCTCCATTAGGACAATTACATTTATCACAAAATCTTGATAGTTGCCGGTTACAATTGGAACAATATATATTTGTTTTAAACGTGAATTTAACTCCCACTCGTTTCCACAGTTCACGACCTGATTTTGGTAAACCAACATTTGATTGAATATTATTTAATAAATCTAATAATCGATCCGTATTTGACTTATCAAGATTAGCACTACGAATGAAATCAATGATTTGCGTTATTTCTTCATTTTCATTACTATCACTTTCACCTTCTCTAGTTTCAGAGGGTGAAGATTCAAATAAATAAAAATCACTATCAAGTTCAGTATTCGATTCTAAATCATCCGTAAAATTATGATTATCTATGTTACAGCATTATAAAACAAAAGAACACGTATTAGGAATTCAAGCAAATTGAAATATTAAATGTACCTTCATTAAGAGTTGAATATTTCCAGTTGTAAATATCATTCGATAGTGCTGTGGATTGTTGCTTATCAGCAATAGCTTCTCTACGATCTTCATCAGATTCGTCGTTGAGTATTACCACAGCAATAATAGAAAAAGGTTCTACATAACCATCGGAAGAAAATAAATTAAGTTGATCAGTGGTGAACTTTATATCAGTAATCGATGTATTTCGTATTGATAAATTCATACACTGTTCGCGTATTGACTGTCGATATTTAATATTACGCTGTCTCCTCTGCTCCTTTTCTACAAAAAGAAGAAGGACATGAATAAAAATTGCAACGATAACGTACCATGACGTTCGAATTGAGATATTAAATCATGCGTATTATTTTTCATACGACCGATAAGTCGAAAATGATTAATTTTAATTTACCAAAAATGTTAAAATTGAAAAAAGCTATCCTTCGACAGTTATCTCTGAGAAAATGAAGACGAAATCTGGAATAATTATTTTCATAGAAAAATTGAAAAAATATTATAAAATAAATGCGAAAACCTCGGATTTAAATCCGAGAGTTATGTGTACTTCAAAAAGTGAATGAGACAGATGAGTCATCCTAGAATGTGTGGACATCAAAATTATCCTGGCAAACCTTTTCTATAAAATACTTGATTTCTATTGGTCCCTGCTCAACCAATGGTATTTCAAGGCAAATGGATGACAGATTCGAGCTCTCCGCCCCAAAAAACCTCGAAGTATNACTGGGGCGCTGACCCCCTCTTGACCTTTCCCTGGACCTAGGGAACTACCATGGAAAGTTCGGTGACCGTAGCTATTACAGGGATTGAATGCATAACGAACAAACAGACAAACAGACAAACAGACAAACATTCTTCTTTATATATATAGAAGATAAATCGTTTCATCATCATCAATATTTTAATTAGCAACCATTTCTAAAACTTTTCTTTAACATGATTTGAATTTTTCAATATTATTTCGTTCACAATAATAAGTATTTACTTCATCATTTGAACAAACCATTTTCATTTGTTTTTTATATATTTTAATTCGATGAAAACTATTTGTATTATTTCCAAGCATTTCAAAACATTGTTTATAAATTTGTTCTCTTGTTAGTTAAATTAATTGATGAAGTGTTGACATATATAAGAATGGAAGAGATGATTTTGTTAATTTTGTTCTATTAGCTAAACATTTTTCATTAAATTGACTTTCAGTAAATAAAGTATTAAGATTTTTTTGTTCATTTGGAGAACATTCAGTAAGAGCACGACATCGAAGTTCATAAGCTTGACGAGCAGGTATAGATGGAATCTATCAAAAAATTCTTTATGTAATTTTGTTAATTCATTTCATTAAATCAATTTTCATTATTATTCATGAAATTGACCCATTTGTCACAACAATAACAATTGTTAATAGAAGACCAATATGAATATACATTATGACAATTCGACTATGAACTCTAACCCTGATTATATTGTGTAGAATTTGAAATAAACTTATTTTAGTTTCTAGAAGACAATATCGATGAGAAGAATGATGACGAATGAAATATATCTATCTCAATATAGCAGTATATGTATTGTTGTTAGAGAGAGATATGTACTAACTACACATTTCTTTGTATCATTAATATAATATTGCCTAAAATAGAGAGAAAAATCTAAATGCACGTCATCGACTCTATGCATGAAATCATAGGAATAATAAAAGGTTCTTTCTTATCATAGTGTAGTCATTAAATAGAAGACAGAATTTTTAGCAAATACATCAGTATACAGAAGATTTCCATGATTTTATAGAAATTTTGTGAGATGTAAATATGCTTCTTACGGTTCTTATCTCATATTAAGGTGGAAGATTTAACAGAGATGAAGTAAAAACGTCTATTCGAAAGAATTGTGGTAGCTACAGATCATGTTTATTTAATTGCTATTTTTAGTGTGTATGTCAATGAAGTTCATACATGCTTAAAGAACAAATTGCTAAACTGTTTTAATGTTATATCGATGAATAGAAATATTTTATCAATAATTCGAATATGACAATTGCATTTTTCTTTTTCTTTTGTCGATATAATGTCACTCTTAGCTAAAATCGATGCTCAAGTCAATTATATTTTATCACTATAAATCAAATGCCAAAATCTTCTAAGAAAACATCGACAAAAAACGAAACATCTTCATCTGTTTTCATTCTTTCTGAGAATAAAAATGCACTATTGACCATCATCAACATCAAAAACTAATAATGAGAAACAAAATCTATCAAATAATTCTTCTTTAATATTAGAAGATAATCAAAGTGATTTAATGACATCTGAAAATTTTTCTTTTAGTCATTTGTGCAATCGTGATGTAGATCATTTTCTTTATATTTAATAAGAAAATTTTATATTTAGATCAGCGATTTCCCATCATCAAAAGGAAATGATGTTGGTTTCGATCGTCTTCGTTCATATTATATATTGTATATTGACCATGACGGACTTAGTCGGTCGTTATTTGATTCATAAAACACCCGATGAATTGCGACAGTTTTTAATTGAAAAAGTGCAATGTAGTCAATCATTTACTGATGAAATTACTCAATTGATGGATACATGAACACTACATAATTTAGGAATTGGAAGAGGAACACGAACAACACCACTCAAACAATATGTGTGGACACGACGCTCTTACAGTATCTGATACTTTTACGCTTCACTCTGTTTTTCTAGATGATTTCAATTATTCACATCTCTTAAATTTCTTTTTTTAATAAATTTTCACATTTTCTAGAAATGCAAATCATCCATGATACAGCATCAGAATATCATTTTTAATCACATTGCTACTATAAAAATCTGACTCACTGAAATATGAATATAACATGTCTTTATAATTCCATTTTTCTAATCTGAAAAATAGATGAAATTATCTCATATAGTCCGATTCCAGTCGAAGATAAACATTTTTCGTGAAATCGATATGATTTCTATTGCAGAATAGGTGCTTGTTTACTTCAATCACACCTCACCCTCCTTAATCTCAATTACAGTACTATGAAATTTAATTTCATCCATAAGATATATCTTATCGCACTAAAAGAAATTGTTCCTACGAAGAAAGAAAGAGACAAAACAATCCACGTGCCATGTTGTAGAAAATAAAGAAAAGAAGAAAATGATGATAAGTGCTTACTAGTGCCCGGCGTGACCAACTTTTTTGGTCACGGTCACGGTCACGGTGAGCCCAGGTCGTGAGCGTGAGTCACGGCCCTTTTCATGGTTTCTCAACATGAAAAAAACACTTTCCAGAAAGAGCTATTGCAATGTTTCCTTGCCAGATTCTTTATGGATTCAGTCAGAATCCTTCCAGGATTCGCTTTTTCCTGAGGGAACGGCGAAATCCTGTAAGAAGTGTGTATTCACGAAGTTTCAAGATCCTAACAAAGTTCGAAAAAGGATCCCATCAGGATTCTGAACGNATATCTCTCTCTGAATTTTTTTTCTGAGCATGTGTAAATTTTTAAAAAAATCGATTTGCTTTTCATTAGCTACATGATGGAGTGCAAATATAGAAACGAAAAAATGCTCTTATAAGCAAATGAGAAGTTCAAAACTGCTTTCAAACAATACAAGTTCTTCTTCAAAATTTCTAGATAATTGTAAAACAAAAGTTTTTGTTTCAGAACTGAACAGGATCTCTAAAAAACTAGGGTGTGAGTGCGAGTGCGAGTGCGAGTATGATGTTTCCATTGAGTCACACACACCCTGATCAGAAATAATAAATCCGGAATAAATAAATAAATCCGGAAAACAATAAGTACCGACAACCCTTGCAGTCCTACCTTGAATATAGCTCATATTTTATCTTCAAAGTAGCATGTTTAGAGAGAACGTCAACAATGTTTCATTTAGTAACTTATCAATGTATAATGATTAACGATTCTATTAAAATGAAGTTAGTCTCTCGTAAAGTTCTTACCGATTTATTCTATAGCAACTAAATAATTATTGATCGAAATCATAATCTCTTCGATCATGTGCTTGATGTTTTGTTATTGACTTAAAGTGACTTTTCTATCTGATTAAGTTGTAAATTTAAACATTCGAACGATTTGTGAATAATTGATAAAATCATACTTGATCCATGAAAACAATTCAATTGCTTCCATTTCGGGCTTGATCTTGATAATCTGTGTGACTGTCTGATGTTTCGAACAATTGCAAATGACGATCATTTGTGCCTTACTCGATTAGAATAATTTTAATTTACAATAAAATGCAGCTTTGAACTAGAGTCAGTTTTTCATCAGACTACTGTTTTTATTGATAGAATTTTCAAATACAAACAATTTAATAACTAAATTATGAATGTAGTCGACTTTTTCGAACACTCTTAATCAGAATTCGATTAGGGATATGACAACATAATTGACTACAGAAATAATATGATTGGAAATAACAATGATGAAAATAGCTGATTTAATAAAAGTGCTTCATCGGATGTAACAAACATGGATCACAAATCTATCATCGATGTCAACCTTAAAATATACAACATCTATTGAGAGCAAGACTTTTAAATGTTATTTTAGTACATTTTTTTCATACTTCAGCCTGTTTTGTTTTTCTACAGAAACGAATCGAAATATGAATTCATGAAGAAATCTTTTCAATGGTTGCATATTGTTTGAATCATGAAATTCGAATTTCTTAAAAACATATGTTGATTATTTCAAAATATCATTGACGAATCTCATAAAGTTTTTGAGTAAATTCAAATTCTGATCAAGATAGATTCAATATTTTTCGAAAATTTAACTAATAGTTTGATACTTCGAATTGTGAAACGTGTTTTGTTCAATGCACTGTTTAACAAACAAAGATTTTCAAAACTGAATGTAGCCATAACAGAAGTACACAATATTTTTCTTTTGATAAAATCGAAGATAAATTTCAATACGAATCACTTATTCCTTTCTTCATACATTTATGATGTTTCATGTTCCATAGCTCATTAAATAAGAGCATCTATTCTGCTACTCTTAATAATTGTTTCTTTTTCTTTCACTAACAATAGAGGTACAACCACTAAGAGCATAGAAAATATGTGAAATCTGCTCCAAGAATAGCAATTAATTCGAAACCGAAGTGAACATCACATTGGTTTATCGATGGAAAAGTAGTTCAATTGAAGTTGCAATGTAAAAAGTTGAGAGAGTATTACGATCTATCTGCTAATAGTCTAAATAAAGATAGACTTTGACAGAGAAGATAACATGACAAAAACTTGTTGATTGATTGACTGACCTTATGCTACTGTAGAACGAGAATGATCAGTGATGGGGTGAGTGTGCGTGTGGTTGTGGTTGTGGATATTTTTTAAGATACCGTCTAATGCCCACACCCACACCCATACTCTCTAAGTTATCGTCGGATCAAAATTTCAATGATGTCATTTTTTCAAGCTCATGTTTGAATCTGGACGTATGATTTCACCACGTCTTTCTTTTCTACTCATTGGATTTGTCAGCAACGGCACATCGAATCGATCTCCATTGTTTCTTTTTTTGCGAAAGTAGGATCTGAAAGAGAGTTGAACTTACCATGAATTCCGTTCATGGTTCTTCGAGTTGAGATCATCAACAAAACACTGCATAATTTGTTGGAAGAATTTTAGCAAGATCCATGACTCTTGTATTTCGTTCTAGCATTTTATCCAAAGGCTGTTTTTCAACCAATGTTTTTTGTTTTATGATATATATTTCATACTTAATAAACAATAGTAAATTACTCTATATTGAAAAATCTCTTTCAAGTGAAAAATAGCAAGAAAATAATAACCAATATGTTTTTAGTAAAGTTGATGTTGAATATGTAAATATAGTTAATATTGTCGTTTTGTTACTATCAAAGCTGAACTAGAAGAACGAAAAAGATTTATTCAGTGTTATTCGAAGCTTAATTTGATAACGAGATAAATAAGTTGGACGAAATTCTGACAATAGCTAAGAGGTATATCTGCTAGTCACTGGTTTGAAGAGTGTTTAACAAGCTTTACAAATTAACTAACAAGGAAAGGTTCCCAGGTGTTACGCGCCGTTTTGAATCGGGTATTGGTCATTTCATAAAGCTCAGTGAGTACTACATCTGGTATAAAGGGTTCGTCCCCATACAGAACTTGTAAGGAATTGCGTACTACCATACCTTCTGAAAAATTATTATGAGGCTCTTAGTAGGAGACTTGGATTTCAAAAGTATTATCATTCCAAGTAGTCTGGATTTTTCGATTGAATAAATCACAACCGATTAAATATATTCATATGTCACACTTAAGAGACGCTCCGTGAAAAAACAGAAGATTTTGGGATATAAAAAAGACATGGTGGTAAAGCGATTCGAAATCTCACCCTATAGGAAGTTAGGCCTTGATGTCCCATAGAATAATCCAAAATATTACGGTTCAAAGATCGACTCCTGGCCAGCTAGGGTGGGACGACCTGAGACATCCCCCAAACATACCTCAAAAAATGGCTAAAAATTTTTAAAATTAACGTATCATTCTTTTTAAATTTTTCTCTTGAAATTTTTTCACTGTTCAAATTGTGTCATATACGATCGAGATTGGCATTTCCGAGATTGAAAAAAGATCGAGAAATAATCTAGAAAAAAGAATATTTTGAAAATTTATCTTTCTTACGTTCAACCGCGTTGTTTATATGGCGCTATGTATGCATAACAAAACGGTGAACGAATAGTCAACGGACAGAATGCGACAAACTCGTATATGACACATTTTTGTGCTGAAGTGCACGACACATAAACACGACGCATTTAAATTTAGTGTACACATCAGACGAATCAGACGATATTTCAAGATTTTGTTCGTCAAAAGTTTATCTTTATGGGAAATAAATATCATATTCGGAATTAGCACATCAAAATACATCGAAAACCCTAGACATCATCGAAAAAACCTTTCCAACTAAATTTTACCTGTACTCTCCCAGGGGTTTTCCTTCTCGATTTTTTCCTGTGGTACCCCAGGGAGATATTTGATCGGCCTGCACATTACGGTAATAAAAAGTGACAGAAGGCAGGATTTTTTCTCGGACTTCTTTATGTCATTTTGTAGCTTTTTGAATGCTCTATCGATGGTAAAATAATCGTTCTGGGTCTGCATAAAATAAGGTGACAGCAGCTTCTACACCAACCAGGTGATATCCAAATATACCCAAAATTACACCAAACTAGATAATATTTTCAAAAGTTTTCGACCACGCTTTCACTCTGACTAAACTTCTAAATACAATTTTGTTCAGAATTAAATTCTCTATCCAATGATATATAAAACGTCTTCAAACATGTCCTGTTATGTTTCCCAATATCTGAAAAAGGTCTGGTCCAAAATTCAACCCAACTACCAACATGGTGCTTACATGGTCAAGCTCAAAAGTGACCTGAAACCAGATGGATCAAGCTAAAACTTATAGGGATGCAATAAAACAACGCGCCCTATAATTTTGTGAAAGTTTCATGTTAAACGGCTGTATTTTTCTAATAGAGCCGATTTCAAGGGCAATCCGCCCCCGTCCTTTGTATAATTATTCGAAAAGCAGCTTTTCATAGAAAGTGAATAAAACTTTTTTTGACAGTTCCGATCGAGCTCATTCAAACGCCGATCGGAAGAGCGGTATCCACTCTGCCGGTATGGCACATTAAAAAAAAAATTTTGTTTTTTGATTTTTATTAAAAAAGGAGGGAGGGGATAACCTTAACCGCATGCGCATACGTTTTGTATTTTATTTTTTCATCATCATGTAATGCATTGTATTAAAAAAAATATACCAGAAGATGAAATAACAAAAAAATCAATTCGTCATGTATCAAAAAAACAATTATCTTTTTCGAACGTTCGAAATTTGATCGCACAAAATCTTGTCCATTTTGAAAGCAAAAAGTGCAACTATAAAATAAGCGGTCTTATGTAAATTGTAGAGCTTTTCACGCTGCATCTTCTGATATATTTTGTTCTTTGAATACAATGTATTAGATGATGAAAAAATAAGATATGAAAAACACGGTCATTTATTATGTCCCACCCGTTTTTTGGCAGAAAGATGTATTGCAAAACTTATGCACATGCCGTTATATCGATAGATCCAGATTTACCGTTTAAAAAAAATAGAGCCAAGGGATTAATAGTTAAAAACTTCTCTACGGAGACTCTGTAGAATGGTTAAACCGGTAAATTTACTTACCACAACATCATGAGTAAAGCTGAGTAATTCCAGGCTTTCGCTACTGCAGTAGAACAATAATTATTAATACTAAACTTTTGAACACGATGATTAACGTTATCAACTACATATAAATTACCAGTTTTATCAAATTGCACTCCTCTTGCGTCAGGTATGTGGCTAGCTACTAGCATTCCAGTTGTTGCACCCGCAAGCCATTTCACCACACGATTATTGTCCCACTCAGACACATAAATAGACCCGTTTCTATCAACTGCAACTCCTCCTGGAAAACCAAGCTGATTTAAGTTGGGCCCGTTTCCATTTCCTCCGGCCACTGTTACCCCATTCAATGAATTTGGTAACACTTTTTGAATACGATGATTAAACGAATCTGCTATAAAAATATTGCCACTATCATCGACAAAAATACCTTCTGGAAAGTTTAATTGATTAGGATTGCTACCATTACCATTCCCGCCTGCAACGACAATGCCTGTAGTTGCTCCGACATCCCATTGCATCACTCGATGATTATTGTAATCTGATAGATAAATATTTCCACGTTGATCAACAAAAAGACTCCAACACTTGTTAAACTGGTTGTTACTGGGACCTACACCATGTTGACCTATTACTGTTTGACCACTCATAGATCCCTTCATCCACTTTTGTATTCGATCATTTCTATCATCTGCAATATAAATATAATCATTTTCATCTACAAACACCGCTGTTGGATAATGCAACTGATTTGAAGCTGAACCATTGCCATTTCCACCAGCTACAATTTTGCCAGTCAAAGCACCGGGTGCCCACTCTACAATACGACTATTGGAATAATCTGCCACATATACATTGTTGTTACGACTATCCAAAAACAAATCAGCTGCCTCATTGAGCTGATTTAATGCTGCACCACCGCCGTTCCCACCTGCAACTGTTGTTGCATTTTCAGACCATGTTGCCGTTGAACAGATTGTTGGAATTGCTGATGATTTAACTAGAAGGAATGAAAGTACATGCTGATATAGAACAAATTTCTAATACACTAAATTTATTATACGCCGAGATATGTGCATATATCGAAATCATGTTACTTTCATTAAAATTCATGGGTAGGTCTTTTTGAAGTGCACCGGACTTTACATCGACTTTCTGCCCATCGTATGGCACTTTCAGAACTAGTAGAACTCATTACGGTGATCACAAAATGCTCTTAAAAACATTTCCAAATGACCGAATGATATCAGTTCATCGGGCAAGCACTATAAAGACTTCCCAGCAAAATTGTTTTTGCTATTACTTTGCCATTTCAAAAGATAAAGAGTTCAAACCGCTTTTGCTAATACTACTCACCAATACGAACATCTTTTGAAGCAAAAAACTTTTTTATCAGTGCTTTGGCTTTTTAAGAAAAAATTATACAAAAAAACAATTTTTTGCGTTTTCCCGTTCAAATATTTCTATAAAGACAAAATGAAAACTTAACATCAATACATCATTTCGAATCCACAATCAACTGTCTTTATAATGGTGATAATCATGGGACTTCAGCTATTTACGAGATTAACTAGCAGAGCAAACACTAACCGCTCGTTTTCAATTTTTTACCAACTTCCACTTCTGCCATCCGTCCACTGCAAATTCTACAGACTGTCTCGGTATCCAATGTTTATGTATACATAATGAGTACTTCAAAATACTGAAACAATTGTTTTTGGCTGATGCTTTAACTCTGAGAAAATGAATCCCAAAGTTTTGATCAAAAAGTCAAAAATTTGCCTCTAACTGTCAATTTTCGCTTTTAAAATTTAGCTTTTATGTAATACCAATATCATATTCGGAATCAACGTAAAAAATTGGCTCGAAGAATACACATTTTTATCTCTTCTGAAAATTTTTACGTTTTTCGAATTTTTGCCTAGAAAGATTTGCTAAGATTTTCATCCAAAACTGACAATCAACTAAAACTTTCGAAACATATAACATTCGACTCGCGGCGAATCATTCCCAAGTGATTAAGAGAGGGTTCCTGACAGGACCCACCACGGTCACCGCTGAAAAATGTTTGATTTTCGATTTTTCTGTCTCAAATGAAAGGTCAGGCCCAATCATAGTCAAAACCAAAATATTAGACCATTCCGTTTTATCTATAGAAAAAGCGAGCTGAAACACTGAAAAGGTGTCAATTTCAGTCTCTAAAAATGGATATTTTCGAATATGCTTAGTATTTTGACATGATTTCTCGAACGACTTCACCGTTCGAGCTGGGCGATGTCTCAAAAGATAGAACCTTCCATAGGCTATAAAACCAGTTTATTTGATCGATATTCATATTCTGTGCAGGGACATCTCAAGAGAGATACCACTGAAAATACGAAAAAAGCACTGGTCCAATATGGCGCTATTTTGACCTTTTTTTCGTCAAAGCAAGAGGACCTAGAATTATTTGTTTACCGAATATAGATCTTGTCCAGACACATCTGCTGGCATATAAATATCGACGAAAACAAACTGGGGGCTCGAGTTATGGTAGACCACACTCCGAACTGATCCACTTGGTGAAAATCGGTCTTTTCACTTGAAGCCATTCAATTCTAGTCAAAATAAAAAAAGTGACATCAGATTCGTGCTCAGCATGAAAAACTGAGTCGAATAGGGTATATTACATTTTATCTGAGAGTCTTACAGTCAACTTTGCTTGATATGTCCTTGGTGACACTGGTGAACCATAGGGCTGATATCATATTTCGATCATCCACGTCAATGAGATCTCTGTTTTGCCAAACGAAATATATGGTCTTGTAGAGCCTATCAGGGGCTACAACATGCACTATTTGGATTTTAATTTTGAGTGAGTTAAGATGGCAAAAATGNTCTGTGGGTGGGGGGGGGGGGGGGGGGGGGGGGGGGGGGGGGGTGGGGGGGGGGGGGGGGGGCGTGGGGCGTGTGGTGTGGGATGTGGGTGTGGTTGACTTTGTCTGAAGCCAGAGACCAACACTCTACACCCACACCCACACCCACACCCTCATGTTACGTGTAATAAATGTAATAAACAAGGTCATATAGCTAAAGTTTGTCGTTCTAGACAAACATCAGCACATTCCAAGGTGAATACTATATTTTCAGTATCACACATACCTACTACAGATGAACATCCAATTCAGATTCAAATTCAAATTGATGGTGTACAAGTTAATTTTGAATTAGATACAGGTTCTCCTATTACGGTTATTAATGAAAGTGTTTGGAAATCAATCGGAAAACCTGAATTAAACCCAATTAAATTAACTTATAATAGTTTTTCAGGTCATCCGATTTATTTTAGGAGTGAGGCTCTGGTTAACGTGAATTACAATGGTCAAAATACACGACTACATCTATTAGTTGGTGGTACAAATCGAAATAATATTATTGGTCGTAATTGGATTCATGCTTTACATATTAATACACAAACACTTGATGATATTGTTTTGAAGAACAAAATCCTTCATGTTAATTCGGAACTTGATAATCTAGATCAACTTCTTAATCATTACCAAGAGATTTTCAAGAAAGGTTTAGGCCGTTGCAAAATCAAAGCCCAACTTCATATTAAACCAAATGTAACACCAAAAATTTGTAAACCTCGTTCATTATCATTTGCTTATCGCCAAGCGGTGGAAAATAATTTAAATCGTCTTGTTTCTGAACAGGTCTTAGAACCAATTAACACCGCCAAATGGGCTGCTCCAATTGTAGTAGTTCCAAAACCTGCCGATAATGTTAGAATTTGTGCAGATTTCAGCACTGGAGTTAATGCAGCATTAGATATTGATAAATATCCATTACCGAAACCGACTGATATTTTTGTTGCACTTAATGGTGGTACATTATTCAGTAAAATTGATCTATCTGAAGCTTACATGCAAGTCGAATTGGAAGATAATAGTAAAGATTGATTAGTTATTAATACACATAAAGGTTTATTCCGTTTCAATCGACTACCATTTGGTATAGCTTCTGCACCAAGTATATTTCAACAAATAATGGATCAAATGATTGCTGGTTTAGATGGAACAATTTGCTACTTAGATGATATTATAGTTACTGGGAAAAATAAAATTGATCATTTAAATAAATTATTTATAAGAATAAAAGATTTTGGTTTTACTATTAATAAAAGTAAATGTGTATTTTTACAAAATCATGTCGAATATTTAGACTTTATTGTGGACAAGAATGGTATTCATTCATCTCCTTCAAAAATCAAAGCAATTATTGATATGCCTAAACCAACAAATCTTTCTCAATTACGTTCATTCTTGTGTATGATTAACCATTATTCAAAATCCATACCCAAATTATCCGATCGCTTATCGGTTTTCTATTCGTTATTGAAAAAAGATACTATTTGGAATTGGAATGAAACATGTGATCAAACATTTACAAGTCTTAAAAAGCTTTTCACTTCTCCATTAGCTCTAACTCAGTTCGATCCAACAATTCCTTTAGTATTAGGTGCTGATACATCAAATTCTGGAGTCGGTGCTGTTATATATCATCGATATCCCGATGGATCTGAAAAAGTGATTGCACATGCATCAAAAACAGTGACACTCACTGAAAATCATTATTCACAAATCGAGAAAAAGGCACTGGCAATTATTTATGGAGTAGAAAAATTTGATCAATTTCTTCGTGGCCGTAAATTTACTTTACTAACCGACCATAGACCATTAACGTTTATATTCGCTTCAAAAGAAAAAGGTATTAATACCAATGCGGTTAATCGTGTACAACGTTGGGCTATTCGACTCATGGGATATACATATGACATCGAATATTGTTCAACAGATAAATTTGGTCAAGCTGATGGACTTTCTCGATTACCAATTGGATCTGATATTAAATTTGATAAACAAGATACTGGTGAAATTAGTCTTCTTGCTATAATTCAAAACGAATATCAAAATAATTTACCACTTCGTGCATCACAAATTGCTCAAGCTACTGGAAAAGATTCACTTCTTAAACTTGTTTATGATTATATTCTTTCAGGTTGGCCATCAAAACATCCTGAACTTGTTCAACCTTATTTTAGAATTCGAAATGAATTTTCAACGTCAAATGGATGTATTACATGGGGTTTACGTACAATTATTCCATCTTGTTTTAAAAATCGTCTTTTAAAACATCTTCATTTAACACACTCTGGAATGAGTCGAATGAAAGCAGAAGTTCGACGTTATTTCTGGTGGCCATCACTTGATAAAGATATTGAAGATCTTGCTCGTAAGTGCCAAGCTTGTTCACAAAATTCTAAACAACCAGCTAAAGTTCCATTACAACAATGGCATGGGCCAGAGAAACCTTGGCAACGTATTCATATTGATTTCATGGGTAAATTTATGGGTTTATATTTTCTCATTATTGTCGATGCACATTCAAAATGGTTGGAGGTGATTATGATGAACAGCATTACTACTGCAGCAACAATTGATGCTTTATCATCGCTTTTTGCTCGTTATGAGTTATGTAAAAAAAATTGTATCCGATAACGGTACTCAATTCACATCAGAAGAATTTTCTGAATTTTGTGCTCGTAATGGTATTCGCCTCATTAGAACAACACTGGCACATCCACAGTTCAATGGCTAGGCGGAAAAATATGTTGATACAGTTAAATTTGCTCTTAGAAAAGGACTTTATAATGGTGGGAAAATATCCGATGTTCTATTAAAATTTCTATTTTCTTATAGAACAACTCCTCATGCAACAACTAACACAAGTCCAGCTGAATTATTTTTAAAAAGACAACTACGAACTGTATTAGATTTATTACGTTCGAATGCAAATGATCTGTCAAATGCTGCTCGGCAACGTTATCGAATGAACTTTGATCGACACACAAAAGAACGTTATTTTAATTCAGGTGATGAAGTTCTTGTACGAGATTTCAGATTTCATCCAAATAAAATTAATTGGACACCTGGTGTACTTATTCAGCGTCAAGGATCTTGTATTTGGGCCATTAAAGTTGGAGATAAAATATGGCGTCGACATGAAAATCAGATTAAACATCGATATTGGTCTAGTGATGAAGATTTTATTACTATTAATTCACCTACATCAAATACAACAACTGATCTTGAGAAAAGTTTAACATCATCTACTTCTTTATCTGATCTGGATCCTCAAACACTTCGACGTTCATCACGATTTAAAAAACCAACACATCGTTTAATAGAAGAAATTTAAAAGGGGAGGAATGTGATGTACTGACTCAGCTACTGTTCCTCTTGTTGGTCTTTTCCTTCACTAGTTCTATTCTTTTCATTCTTTGGTATATTCCTTTCATTCTATGGAATAATTCTTTCGTTCTGTGGATTATTCCATTATGACTCTTCATATACATATATAGATATGTTCATTCCTGAGATAGTTGGTTGGTTGTCCTCCACTTCTACTTTCTGTTCGTGTTCTTCACCTTCTGTATTTCCTTGTAAAACTCACGTATTCAATAAACCAGATATTCATCTATAGTCTCCGTTCTAAGAGTAACTTCAATACGTGACAAGATACAATCAAAAAAAGAAAATTGATAATAAGTAAAATAATTAACAATCATTGTAAGACCATATTTATTTCTCTAAACAAAAAAAATAAACATCGCATAACTTTTTAGTTAATCTCTTTTTTTTAAAATATTATGAAAATATAAATAAAAATGATTTATTTGATCTAATTTGTTTTTAAATTGAATTTTCATATAAATATATTTGATTTATCTTGTTGAAACAATAAAATAATATTTGATAAAGCTAATTTATAACATATTCTTAAATCATTGACTATTTCATATATTTTTCTTATTGAAAAAGTCAATGTTTTAACGTAATATAAATTATATTTTAATTTCAAACTATTCTACAAATAAGATTATATTTTAATAAGATTTCTTCAATACTTTCAATCAAATATATTTTACCAATTATTTTAAAATACTTTACTTTTCATTCTTTGTTAATAAAACTAAATATTAGTAAAACAGATGATTTTATTAGATAGATAAAAATCTCATTAAATAGCTAATATTTTCAAGTCATCGTAAATGAAACTAGTCAAGCCTCGTTCACTATAGTAATTCTTCTCATTGTACATTCTATAACTCAAGAAGGAAATATGTTTATGATTCGGCGAACCTATCATTAATTTTCTTCGTGTTTCTTGTAAGTATTTAAAAGTTGTGGATATTCAACGCAATAATCGATTGATCAAGTCGTACGTTTCTTCCCTTATTGAATTATAGATTTTATAGTGAAAAGAATTATCATATATAATAAACTCGCCTCAATTTAAACGATTAAGACTGAACTAATCTCGTTTATCCAACTTTCTATTTTATACTTACAGTCCTAAGAATGATTAAGATACTTTTTGTATCTAGATGTGACACTTTGTCTTTATTTTACTTTGAAGAATTTTAAGTTAGAAAACAATGCTTTTCATACATAGATAAAAAGTTTGCCATTTTAAAGTTTACTTTACTCAATAAAGTAAAGATACAGTGCCACTCCTATTTGTCACAATCATTAAGGGACATCCTCATTCTCCATCTGTTATTCCTTCGATAACGCCAGAGTGTTCAATTACCGTTCAACTAGACATTGTAACCACATGAACGATAAGTATTACTTAGTCACTCGGACTTCTATTCACTTTTTTTTCTCCTAACTTAACATTTCTTATTCGTTTGTTCTTTAGTATATGAAGCTTGTTCAACACAAAGTAGACACAAATGAAGTGATAAAACAGCGTAGTGAACATTTATACCACGACTATCGATAACGTTACTCCTCCAGTATGTCAATTTTTATCATAATAAAATACGAAATAGTTTGATTATGAAAGAGAATATTATCTCATCGGTCTCAATTTTATTATGGTATTGATCAGTGATATATTTCTTATTAAGTTTCATAGTGCTCATTCAAAAAAATACATGTTCATTAACGGTTTTCTTGAGAATAAAAACTCAAAATAATTCGATAATAAATATTTCATTTTACTTTGCATTCATAGTCAATAATAAAGAATTTCTATGAAAATTTCATATAAATAATATTATTTGACGAGGAATGAAGCGGCATCTGTTGTTAAAACATATTATTGATCTAATCAAAATCGAGTTATTTTCTATCCATGTTATCCTTATTTTACTTATTTCATAAAATATTCTTTCAGTTGAAATTGAAAAGACTCTTAAATGTCTTTATCAAATTCAATTCATATTTCTCTAGTCTTGTAAAGTGTTGATGTGTTCACATTTGGAGAATCATCTCTTTTTGGTTATGATTCATTAAATAAGTGTCTTGTCGTTCATTCATTAATTGAATTGAACAATACGAATGATCCACAATTTGATTGTTTACATTTATCTGCATCTCCAACATCTTCTATTCGACGATTAATTTTAAATCCAGATGAAACTATTCTTGCTCTTATGGATGATAAAACAGCTTATCTTGTGTATTTACCATAACCAAACAATTCACCATCAAAAGGTATGAAAAATAAAAATGAAATTTATTTATTTATTTATTTTAATGATATTATGTTCTCGTTTGTGTCCTGTAAATGTTATTCCTTCATTACCATCAAATTCGACATTAATAAGTAATTCTTTAATCAATTTTATTTGGTTATCTTCAATACACATGATTATTGTTTATTCGAAACCATCATCATCTGAATGTCATCTTTATAAAGTTCGACCATCAAAACCGGATGGAATTGAATATCTTCAAAAATGTTATGTTGGTTCATCATCAGCAAAAGAACAAACAAATAGTGGAACAACAAAGAAAAGAATTTCTCTTCGTCAATCATCAGATATTGTCAAATTAGATTTAGTTAAAAGAAAACAAGATTTAAGATTAATTCTTCTTTTTGCTATGAAAACTAATGGATATATTTTTATTATGGAGATCGATCAAAATCAATTAGTAAATAAGTAAATATCTTTGATTAATATACAACAATGTTCAACTCATTGATTTACGAATAGATTTTACTTTTTTGCTTGCATCGAAAAAGAAAAAAATTTAATGAATAGAATTGATTAAGATAATTTTTTTTTGCTGAGTATCTCTTTAGAACTATTCGTTCGTTTTTTTTTATCATATCGAATAATTAAAAATAGTCAATGAATATTTCAATGGTCTTAAAACAGAACTCTTGAAATAATTTTTCAATCAGTCTATTTCTTTAATTCATAGAACTAAATTCGTCTTATTTTTACATATTATAAAGATTCAACATCTATTATAACGGGTGCACCAGGTTCAATGGTCGCGTTTTGTATTCCAATTTTCATTCACTTGATATATTGTATTAAAAAAACAAAATATATCACAAGATGCAGCGTGAAAAGCTCTAGAATTTATACAGAACTAGCGGAGGTACCCGATGTTAGTCGAGATAATTTAGTAATATATACTTGACATATTAGAAAACAATATCGTTATGATCTCCTATCAATTTTTGGAATTCGATATCGCAAAATATGCTCAGATCACTTTCCGTTTTCAACTGATGTTTTTGTCATTTTTAATTTTTTAAAAACATNTATCGATTAGGTTACTTTAAAAGTTCGGCCCATTCCATCTATTTTAGAGGGCGCCATAGGTAGTGCATTTGATATTGATTTGCTTAAAATGTGCTCTTTTTCTGCTCTGTCCGTTGACTATATTTGATAAAATATTCTTTTAGTTGAAATTGAAAAGATTTTATTAAATGTCTTTCTCAAATTCAATTCGTATTCCTCTAGTCTTGCCAAGTGTTGATGTATTCACATTTGGAGAATCATCTCTATTTGGTTATGATTCATTAAATAAGTGTCTTGTTGTTATTTCATTAATTGAACTAAACAATCCAAATAATCAACGAATTGATTATTTACATTTATCTTTATCTCCAAGACCTTCTATTCGACGATTGATTTTAAATCAAGATGAAACTATTCTTGCTCTTATTTCTGATAAAATAGCCTATCTTGTTTATTTACCACAATCAAACAATTCACCATCGAAAAGTATTAATAATAATAATATAAATTCATTTATTTATATTTATTATTTTAGGTTCTCATTTATGTTTTGTAAATGTTATTCCTTCATTATCATCAAATTCTACATCAATAAATAATTGTTTAATAGATTTTCTATGGTTATCTTCAATTCATATTATTATTGTTTATTCTGAACCATCATCATCTGAATGTCATCTTTATAAAATTCGACCATCAAAATCTAATGAAATTGAATATGTTCAAACATTTTTTGTTGGTTCATTATCAGCAAAAGAACGAACAAATAGTGGAACACCAAAGAAAAGAATTTCTCTTCGTCGACCATTGGATATTGTCAAATTAGATTTAGCTAAAAGAAAACAAGATTTAAGATCAATTCTTCTTTTTGCTATGAAAGCTGATGGAGATATTTTTATTATGGAAATTGATCAAAATCAATTATTAAATAAGTAAATTTCTTTAAATAATATTAAAAAAATGTTGGACTCATTCAATTCTCATATGAACTTCAATTCTTGTTTGCTTCGTAAAAAAGAAACCAAGGTTTTATGAGCAGTTAGAATTAGAATTGAAATATATGTTCTATATAGTTGTTGACTTAAGACAACAAATATATCAATGATCCCAAAAGAGAACTCCGTAAACATTTTTTCGTTTAATCTATTTATTTATTTAATTTGTAGTAACAACTTTGTTCAACAGAAGTTCATTTTTATTACTGTTTTTATTTATTGCTACAAAGACTCAATGTCTATTGTATTCAATGCAACGAATTTTGAAGAAAAAATAGTTTTTCGATAAAATGACATTTTACGAGAGATATTATCAATTAATTAATCGTTTTTAAGTCGGATCTGTGTGCATCATATCTGACGTTAATACTCTATGAATATCGTGAAAAGAGTTTCATTCGTTAATTTATTTCTGTGGAGATGTTGAATTTCTATGATATCTATTAAATCAATGTTATCATCTATCTCAAGATTAATAGAATAAGTTATTTTAAAGTTTCAATTTGAAAATTTTCAGAGAGACAGATCTTAACGAAAGTAGATTATTGTCAAAAATTTCACATCTTTTGTTTTGCTTCTATCCTGAAATAAAAACATTGAATTTGCCGGTGTAGATGATCGATATAAGAAAAAAAAATCATTATTATCATAGTTGTATCTTAAAATAGAAATAATGAAAATATACGAGACGTTGAAAATAAACTATTATTGGTTAAAATCTGTCTCTATGTCAAACTTCAAGTCAAAATTCTAAAATGAATTTTCTTGATGTTTTTTTAGAAAGATTCTGACATTAACTTTAAAAAAAAAATAAAATAAAAACGTAACATCTATATAGTCAATAAACTAACGGTTCGAACTTTTTCAGAATATTCATAGTTCATTAGAGTCAACATGATGCAAGCAATCACCATTTAAAAGAGATTAATCAATGAAGATACTTCCATCATCATTAGTTAGAATATTATTCTACGAAACAAATCTTTTCTCTTTGTTCATATTGAATTTGAATTTATTTTACTTCATGATATTGTAGAAAAATAAAAAGTTAGAGTTTTTCAAAAAAACATTATTTAAACAAGTAGCCAATGACGTGGAACAAGGTATTTAGCTTGATCGCGATACTAACTTTGTTTCGATTTAACCAGTTTTTTTATAAGAAAAATATTGTAAGTATAGATTCTACAACAAAGTGACATTTTCATCATAATTAGCTAGTTTTTTTTTCTTTCTAATGGCATATAAATTTGTCAGAACATTGAAGAGTTTAGGTGAAGGTTTATTTTTCTGTCTTTAAAATTAAATATTAATATTTGATAATATTCAAAAGAAAAATTTGTTTCACTCAACATATGAATTAACTCGAAACTCGTAGACTTATATAAAATAGTTTACTGAGATTAGCTTTCATTTAATATTATTGATAAATAAGTTGACATAAGTGCGATCAGCTTTTTTTTATGTTAAACTTGAGAACAGTTTGTCCATATTTATGCAGAGTAAAGAAAAATATTGACATGAGTTCAACATTTGTTTTGTTTTTGAAATATTTTAAAAAATAATGTGACTAAAACTTTATTAGTGAAAAACGATTAACATCAGAATTTGTTGGTCCTATTTGTATTCTTCCATCAACATTTGATAATTATGGTGCTGATCATAGTCATTCAAATCTTATTTGTTTATCATGTTCACCATATCCTATAGTTATATTTACACGTGATAAATGTCAAATAAATGAATGTATTGTTCTTAATCCATCAATTGATCAATATTATTTATTTACAATTGATTCAATTTGTTTACCAATAAATGAAAATAATCAAACAATAAAATCAATAATTGTTGATGAACTTAATTCAAATATTTATTATGTTTGGGATTCTTTATCAAATATTTATTCAGTTGAAATTTTATGGATCGATCAAATTAAAGAAAAACAAAATAAAATTCAATCAACAAATATTCAACATTTAATTAAATCAAGTGATTCAATTCAACAAATTGGTTTAATTCAAACAAATAATAAAGGACAATGGTTAGCTATTATTACTAAAACACAAATTAATCAACAAAAGGTTTATTTAATTATTTTATTTCATTCTAAAATTGTTTTTTTTTTTTTACATTAGGAATTAATTCTTATTCGTCCTCGTTCTTTGTCTCTTACACCATTAACTTCAACACATATCAAATCTTTACCTTTGACTGAAACAAATAAAACTAACAAATCAAATTCATCGTCTGATTTTGTTCATCGTATTCGTAAAATTCTTGCTCGTGATCAATCATTACCAAATAAAACACTTTCATCATCATCATCATCATCATCAACAAATAATATTTCTCATTCAGATTTAGAAAGAAATCTTTTTAATTTGTTAAAACTCATCTCTGAACAATACATTGAAAAACAAGAAAAAGTTCGTATAGAATTAGAAAATAAACAACGTTATTTATATGATATTCAACAAACACAATTAATTGCTAATCAAGAATTATTTGAAAAATTTGAACAATTTCAAGAAAAATTTCAAACATTAAATCAACAATATCAACAAGTAAGCAAACTCAAAATTATATACCTATCCCATTACGTTCTTTTTTTCATCAATGAAATCACTATATCAGACTTTGAATATTTTTAATCTTGTTTAAAGAAAAAAAAAAAAAAAAATTCTCAAGAAAGAGTCATTTCAACTTAAAATAATTAAAGAATTTATTATATTTTATGATTTTGAATTATTAAAAGTTTGTTTTTATGAGAATAAGTATAATATTCAACATCGACATCTAAAGTAAAATACAAAAAAAATTCATTTTGCATGATAGACAATGTTTCAACAAAATTTAATCTGCAGAAAAGAACTCAAAGAAAAACTTTAATAATAAAGCGTAACGACAAATAGAAGAACATTTACAAAAAGTATTTTACAATAAATCCAAGTTTCTCATCTAATTTGACATTCTGATTTCGATTAATTTGATTATTTTTCATTAAGAAAAACCAGTTGAAAATTTAATTCTCGAAATACTAATCAATTTCTTTTACTGTTTTATATGAAAATGACTCTTTCCTTAAACTATAAATTAAATAAAACAAAAAAAACGAGCAGAAAAATCTAGACTCTACTTTCTTTTGATTCATTTTATTATAAATCTTTATTTTTTTTTGAAAAAAACAGGAATCTGATCGTCGAAAACATCTTTCATCGAATGTTGATGATCTTTTATCTGTAATTGAACAACACACACCTGTTGTATCTGATGCAGAAGTATTAATGCATCAACAATTAGAGAGATATCAAATTCAGATAAATTCTCTTCAAGAAAAAATCTCTCTTCTGAAACAATTCATTACAAGACAGGAATCTTTTAATGAAAATGAACAACAAATTGATCAATCATCAATGGAAAATATTAACACATTTGTTCGATATTATAGAAATCAAATTGATCAGATGAAACAACAATTACAAATTATTGATTATAATAACTAAATATCATTTTTTTTCTGCTTGTTTAATAAACAATCATTTACTTATTTGCAAATAGTTAATATAAGAAAATGTTATAAATATCGATCATTAAAACAGAAAATAAATTATTTTCTAATAAAAACATCATTTCTATCCAATTGAAGTTTCAATGAAATATTTCGATTAGCTAATTCATTTATTGGAAAATGTAATTAAGTACTATATTCATCTGAATAATACATCTTAGATCGATAAGAAATATGCATTTAGCCATTTCAGCTTTATTAGGATATGTTCCTGTTAAAAATTTTATAGGATTTGTTGCAGCTAAATTAACTTGGATAAAACCAGGTTGATATTGAATGAATTCGTTGTTTGACAATTTTATAAATATCACCATAATTCGTATCGAGGAGCACTATTTGATGCTCAATAGTACAGGTTGTACACGATATATTGTATCTGCTTCACTATATGAATCTATTAAACATTTAATTGAATAAACTCTTGGATTACTAACTTACATTGGTTACCCGTCAAACACGTATGACAAGTAAGCTTATCATGAGTGTCTGGGTAATTGTTTTCAACAAAGATAAAACAATTACTGAGTAGTTACCATGCTGTTCAGATTGGTTTCCGCTGGTGTTGCTAAGCTGGCATAAACTACACGAAAAAATGTAGATAATTTTCGTAGACATTGCTTTTCGTTATATCGAAAAATAACGATTGACTACACAAGTACTGTTTTTTTTTATTCATATCTTTATCATTGACTTTTATTCGATATTATTATTAGCTAAGAAGTGATTGTAAAATAATAACAGATATTATCATTTCTCGAATAAAATTTGATATATGATTTTGCTGCAAACTAGCAATTTTCGATGATATTGTCATTAAAAAAACAGCTACAATGGATAAGAACGATTGTTTTCTGTGACTGAAATACTTCAACAGAAACAAAAAGAAACAAAGTTCTCCGCGCCACATACTCACATCCACCCTAGAGTTTATCCAAGGTTCAAATACTTGTTCTGCTTATCGAATATTCTACTTACGTAGACCTATAAGAAGAAACTAGCAGTAATGAATAGAATAGAGACTTTTCCTATCAGCCGATCAGCTTACAGCATGCATTTTCTTGACTATTATATGGACGAAGCATGATATTGTTTGGGTAATTTAATAGAGGATTTTCGCTTACCCCTCTATTGACTCAAATAACACCCTTTTTTATCCGTACAAGAATGGAGAAAAACTCCGCTAAAATCTGATTGGTCAATAGAAAAAGCTTTTGACCAATCAGATTTTAACAGGATTTTCTCCACACCAGTACGAATAAAAAAAAATATTTCTTGAGTTAATGCAGTAGGTAGCAGAAGTTCTCTATTAAAGAGCATCGAGAAATGCCATGTAATCTCCATAGTAGAGTAGAGTAGAGAAAAAATTGAAATGGCGTAACACAATCGCCTAAACTTCTTTTTAGGTGAGTCAAGTATTAAACAATAATAATTTTAATTTAATTTTAAGTATTAAATGTTTCGTTGCCATGTAGCATCAACGAATTATATTGAGGCGGGTGATCTTTGCTTTTCATAACAGTAGCAGGGATGTGAGTAAGATCTTCATTTCCCTCGGTCAACAGCGGTCCTAATAACTGCATCTAGGCCTATCCTATTCCAATCTAAAAACACACCCGTACTCATACATTCTATACTGAAAAAAATAATGGTACGACACCGAACCCAAAAGGGTGTTTTGGATTAAAAAAAGGTTTCGTGCATAGTACGGAACCTAAAAGGATTTCGATTTCGTTTCAATTCTCTGAACCCTTTTAGGTTTCGTAGACAGAACTACGAAACACTTGAAAAAGTATTCTAAGTCTATGTCGATTATTTTCTGGCAACCGCATTTTTTACGAAACCTTTTGAGGGTTCCCTATTTATTTCGAAAATGGTTCGGTGCATTAGAAAAAAATTAGTATGATTACCATACCCTTTTTAAAATGAATNTTTCGAACTCTGTATACGACTCTTTTTTCTACTGATATTCAACAATCTGATTGAAAGTCTCAAATTAATTTTTTTTCACAGTATTGTCTTGATAAAGATTGTGTCATATTATCTATTAAGCTCTGAATTTCGATTGTAAGTGTCAATAGTAATTTCCTTTTTATTCAGATGAATAACGATAAATATATATAAATTATCTATTGAAAAACGAATATTCTTTAATTACTTTTTTAAATATAGGTTCAACGGGAGAATATCTTGATAATTTAATGGGTGGAAATCCAAATTCAACCATTGGTCAAATTGTTGGAGGTTATCCTGGAGTTGGTGTGTTCGATGTTAGCCATGGATTTGGAGGTGGTCATGGATTTGGTGGTAGTCATAGATTCGGTGGATTGGCACATAGTCATCAATCTAGTCATTTTTCACATTTTTCCCATTATGGTAGTACATATGGTTATTCGATGCACTGATAAACAATTCCACCAATTCGAATTGTTTTCAAAATAACAATATATAACTCTAAATACTATTCAAGAGTTTCATGCTAAAAGAATATTTTTGTTTGTTTGAAATAGAGTTGTTCAAACATCGGAAATAAAATATAATGATCAAAATATATTCTTCTGTGTGGTGTGTTTTTATCAGAGTTTGTTGGTTTGTCAGATGAAACACGCACTTTAAAAAAATTAATTTTATATTTGTTACAAAATGCAAAACAAAATTTCTCTTTACAATATATTAATAGTTAGTTTCGAATAATCGATGATCAAAATAAATTTTTGATATTAAAATAAACTGAAATATCAAATGTTGATAATATTATTTAATAGATTATTTCACAAAAGAATTCTAAACAGAAGAATAAAAATTACTTTTGTTTTCATTTAATGCTCATTTCAACTTGAAAGAAACGTGATTGTTCTTTAAAACTAGTCTCTAACAGAAATACCTATCGATCTGCAGTTTTCATCATTAGAAAAAGAAGCAAAAAATCTTCATTTTTCTATATAATGCTTAATAACACTATTAGTTCACAAATCTGATTATCAGTAAGTGAAAAGAAACACTTAAAGTATTTTGAAGTACTTATGAAATTTCAATTATCAGAAATGCACATTAGATTCATCTATCAAGATCAATAATTCTACATCAATTTGAAATTTTTATTTTTGTCTGTTCAAAAGCTAGACTTCCAACATAGAATCGTCATAAATACTCGAAACAACTCGTCAGAAGTATTCTTTAAAGTTTTAATAATTACATATCTATCAATAGATAATTAGATTTTCGATCATTCTGAATAGAACAAAAATTAGTTATTTTTTCATGAAATCTTTCTTTGTCATTTAAAACCTCTGGTAATCACATAACATCACCAATCGAGTACACTACTAACAAGTTATAGAGATATAACACACTTTATACTTTGATTACCTTTTTAGTATGTTTTAATATTGACGTCAATTAAAATTTTTCTTTTCTGTCTACTCGTTACTTACGAGAGAAGGTTATCAACTGTTCAATCGCTTTTGAGTTGAGTCTATCTGCCACATACAGATCCAGATGAGCTATGAAAACTTGAAAAGTGTTTGGGCACTTAGCTTATTACTATGAAAATACTGCAATCTTACAGTTTTGTTTTAAATAAATGTCGTGATCCTCTTCAAAAATACCAGAAATATCGGACTTTCTAATTTCGACTTGAAATTTCGCATAGAGATAGATCTTAATGAAAATAGTTTGTTGTGAATGTTTCAGATTCTGTCGCTGTTCTATCCTAAGATAGGCCTATGGTAAAAGCGTGTATGTTATATAACTTATATGAATCAGCAAATTTAATGGTCTTGTTTCAGGATTGAAGCAAATGAAAAGGCCTGAAACTTCTACAAGAAACTATTTTCACTAAGATCTATCTTTGTACGAAATTTCAACTCGAAATTTGAAAGTAATGTTTTTCTGGTATTTCTGATGGGGACCACGGCATTTATTTAAATCAACACTGTAAAATTGCAGTATTTCCGTAACAATGAGCTAACTGCTGAAACTTTTTTCAGTATTTTCATAGCTCATGTGAGTCTACATAAGACACATAGTCTCGACTGAAAAGCGATCGAACAGTTGGTCACTTTCCCTCGTCAGAGTTTGTTATCTGGAAAACATTGGACCGAAAGTACGAATGCAAGCATCAACCAGTTTTGCGAAAAGAAAATATTTTTTTCTCTCTCCCTGAAGTGGATTTTTATTGCTATATACCTGCTGTTTAATTCAACGAAAATAAAAGAAAGACTTTGTATGAGTCATGTCATATGAAATTCAGTTATCGATAAGTTATTCACAGATCATGTTTTTTCACACAGCACGAAGCAAATAACGTTCACTGTAATAAACTCAGGGCGTACCAAAAAACCAAAAATAGTGGAACCGACACTATAAAATCTGACGGAAGGCTGAAGCAAGTTTTCTTTCTATATATACTGATAACTCAAATTGAACTCTTTATTGCTACAATATTTCATTATCCTTCATGTGATATTATAATATATATAACATAGCAAAAATAGTGGCGACTTGACAAGAAAAACTATCGAAACAAATGTTTGCAGTAGTCACCTTGATTGTTTACAAATAATTGCATCTGTTGGATCAATCTATTAGAAATTCTTTTTATATTCTTCTTTTTCTAACGAATTCGTAGACTGATTAATTCACAACATAATGCAATGTTTCAGAATCGTCTTGATCGCTAAACTTTTGTTTGATCAAGTTAAATAACCGAAAATCATATACAGGTAAGTCTTTAGAATCAAATGTGTATGACGTCATCTTTATGTCTTTCGGTTTAAGATAATTGAGCATACTTCTATGAATATGTGCCCTGTCATTATCGTGCTGAAGTTTAATTACATGAGTACCAAAGGGTAGTATTTGGTGCTTGATTTTGTCACGAATGGATAGCAATCAAACATTGATATAATACTGATGGTTGCCGATTTGACCTCGTTCAACAGAATAAATGAAAACTGAACCAGTTGACTTAAAGAAAATGCATAACAAGACTCTTGAAGCAAAACGGCTAAACTCCTTTCTACAATAGAAGATATCTTTATTTTAGAAAACCTCCTTTAATTAAATAATCTTTTGGAACATTAGAACTTTAATTAGTATATTTACATCAAAGTATATCTAGTTTGTAAGAATTTTGAGCTGAAAATCTTAAAATATTGAGAACAGCATTATTTCTAGGCTTCTAAAATTCTAATAACCTGTTATTAAATATCCAAAACTGCTTTAGCTTTCTGAAAAATCTTTTTAATGAAAAGTTATGAAAATAAATGAGACACAATAGAAGACCCACTCCATGAAAACTCTGTACGCGTGGTCATAATAACAAGATTGGGGTAGTGGTTTAGATGTAACTGCATGTAGTAATGGTATTTATGATTATTAGACTGATTTCCTAACATCATTCCATGGTTTTAAGAAAATCAATTAACTTTTCTCGTACAATTAAATTAATTTTATTTATTTTCTTCTTATTGAACTTCTTTGCTACAACTAATTTATCAACTGGAATTAGAGATTTCTTCACGTTCTCTCAACAATTTAATTATCATAACTATCTAGTTATTGTACATCGTAATAGTATAACACCATTTTTAAATTCATTCTATAAGAACCAAAGGCCATTATGTTTTTGACAATTTCATATTAGTTTTTTAGAAGACTACGTCATCAACAAAGATAGTATATTATAAAACTTACTTTTCTAATATATACTCGCTGATATCTTTTCTTTTTATTGTAGTTATTAAAATTCGTTTTTTATCAGATGGTATCTGTGAGGGAACAGAAATGATATTCTTTCAAATTGATCTTCTAGAAGAAGATCAGATTGATGATTTTTGTTTATTATTAACTTGATCGCCATCAATTTCACTACCCGGATTATCTTCTTCGAATGTTTCATTTTAAAAAAAATCATGAAATATAATGCTTGTTGGTTTTGCCTATTTGTATTTGATAGAAACTCTTTTGAAAATAATTGTTAAGTTGATAATCTATATAATAAATAAGATTAAGTTTTTCTAAAGCTTTTTGACGGTTTCTTCCTCGATCGCAGATCTGCATAATATTGAACATAAATAGATTTAAATTATTAAAAAAATAAACCTTATCCTAGTTGAACATCTTGCCCAAGACACAAGGTAGAGAAGTTTTGATAGATCTTGAAAATTTAGGTACAAGATAACTACATTATTTTGTACTAAGATCTGTAATTAGATCTTGACTGAAATGTGAATCTTCCGAAAACGATGACTAGAGATCATTTATAGATGCCTCTAAGAACTTCTAAAACATTCTATCCGATGTAAAATTTCACGCTAAGTCTGAATCTGAAGTTTGATTTTCTGTTAGAAGAAAAGCGAACCAAGTTAGAGTCTGATATTTAATTCGAAAAATGTCAAAACCCTTATCGTGATGAACATTCATGAATGAAGATCAATTTTTCTTTGACAATAAACCATAATCTAGTCTCAATCAATGATAAAATAATATTTAGTAACTATCGCTAAGTCAAGATCTTGAGCAAGAAATGTTACATTTTGATGTCTTAACCTTATCAGTTCATTTGTACTTAAGATCTAATGAAAGATCTTGGTACAATATAATGTGATTATCTTATATCTAACTTTTTCAAGATCTGTTAAGATCTCTGTATGTTGTATCTAAGCCAAAGTCTTGCTTAGAAAATATTCGACAAGGGTATTCTATAGACTAGACAGTAATGTAATAGCCAGTATGAATATAAATTACATGGAGAGACTTACTTTTAAAACATTAACACCAGTTTTATTTAGCTATCTATATAGTAAAGAAAATAAATTGAAAGAATTTCACTTCAATGAATAGTTCATCTAGTAGCGCTGTGCCCTTCAAGTAGAATGTTTGTTTGTAATCATCGAATAACAAAATCAGTTGAAAGTACAAATTAATGTACTTGAGCTGTAGTAATTAAAATATCTTTTATGTATTACTGTGACGATTTCTTAGATGTTTGTTTCATTTATTGTGCCATTATCTTTCGAGAAGATAAAAACGAAGAAGCGTCAATAGAGCCATATTGAAAGGTTAAAGTGTAAAAAAAAAACATAAATGATTGCTATAGAACGTTAATAATAGATACCTGTTTGGATATATTGCTGTACAAGGTTTTGAATTCCAGTAACTTCCAGTTTATTTATAGAATAAGTCTTCAAACAAGCTTAATCAATGATTATGAAATTAATTAACTGTTTATGCGCTTTAAGACTTTTACTATTAACTTGATGTATTATATCAATGATATTATTTTATGTTGTAGAAATTGTTCATTTTGATACAGGTATTATCTTTATTTTTGGTTGAGTTTTACTCAATAACATTGAACATTTATTATTCGATACAATAGTTGTGGTTGTGGTTGAAGAATAAGAATAAGAATAAGTTTGAAAGCAATTTTGCAAGATGCAGATGTTTGAAGGATTTCATATTTTTCAGTATCTGCGTATTATTTTAGTCGGTAAAGCAAATATCAATTAACATGTTGCTTTTGATCTTTTATCAATAATATGATTTGTCATTTAAAAAACATGTCATGGAATTTATAAGAATTCTAGTTTTCGAGTTGATAAGGTAAATCTAATGACTCTCAAACTGTCATGACTTCGTTAATTACATCTTATCATTGTATGAACTTAAATAACAATTATGTTGTATTTTTCTCTCAAGGTGATACATAGTTCGTGAACAAATCCATTGTATTATTCGTTCTTTCTATATTTCAAACATAGTGTAATTAATCAATTGTTGTGTGTATTTTTCAGTCGATGAATTAGTTGAGATAGATATCAGGAAAGTTGTAGGTTGTGAAGAAGAAAAATATTGATTCTGTGGATCTGACAACATATATTCAGAATCATTCATATTTCTTGAATAAATAGAAAATCTTTACAATATATTTAATAGCTTTACTTCAATGGATTTAAGGAAAAAACAATGAAAACTCTAAATAAATGAAGCTTAAAAAATAAAAAATAATTAGCGTATAGATAAAATAAGATTAAGAAAATAACTAGATCATTTATTCGTATGTGTTATAACATAGTTCCATTCTAATCCAATACGAAAAGTGTTAACCATCTCAATTATGACTGATTTATGATTATATTAAAGATGCACACTTCAGCATCTCTTGCTTCACAAGTCTCTTCTACAAAAATTCATCGAGCTTAAAACAAATAATAGCGATTCTTCTGAACCGAATCGCTGAAAATCAATTCTGTCTCAATCGAAACTGAACCGATCTCTGAAATACAATGGCAGCATATAAAAAGGTTTTCAATAATCTTAAATCAATTGTCGATATGATTAATGGATAAATATTATTGGTCAAAATCTGTTCACGTCAATTAATTGACGTTTACTTTTTCAACAATTTATCTTACTTACTATAGTGAAGTATTTTAATGGTTGTTTCTTCTGCAATCTACTATTGAACAAAATTAATTTAAATATCATTTAATGAACTCAATATGATTATTCTTGATATTCTTCTAATAATGAATTTTGACTTATATTTTACAAAATTCCTCTAGAAAAAATTATCGCTATAACAGAGCAGCCGTTTCAGCTGATAAACCATTTTTTGAACAAAAAGCTACTCAATTATAAATGTTCGATCATATGAATTGTGAATATGAGCATGAGAAATGTGCTTAAATCTTCCTAGACTGATTTTCTAGGAAAGCAATCACTGAGAAACTTCGAGTATTTCTCATGCTCAAATTTGAAATCAGCATAAATCATAACTTATAATACAATAGCTTTCGTTGGAAAAGTGATTTATCAGTTGAAACGATACTTTTTTACGATAAATGACATATTCCGATCTCGTAAAAATCAAAATCTAAGAAAGTATTTATTGAGAACTACTTTAGGTTAGTATTCAACTACGAGACAAGAACATTTGTTAATAATTGAAAATTTAGAGTAATTGACTCATCCAAATAGATATTATTATTTCACTTTTGGACTAAACGATTTCATATTTGTAGCCAACTAATAACTCTCAAATTTTATTGTTTTTTCATACAACAACAATAACAACAACAACAAAAAATGTAAAAGAAAATTCACCGTAAAATCTATAATAAAAACTTGTTGATCTTTAAAAAATCGGAATAAGTGTTTTGTTCATCCATGTTCTTCTAGCACATTTCTCATGATGTTTTACACAAGGTATAACTCTCATTGTTTGAAAAAATGGAAGTTTTATTCTTAATCGATCAAATTTTGGAATCATTTCATTACTTGATAATTGACAATAATAATCAATTGAACAAATAAATTCTCTTAATTCTACGAATTTCTCAATAAGAATATTTTGTAGATGAGCATAATCTCGAATTTTAAATAAATTATCAAGAAGTAAAGTACATCGTTGAACATAAGGTACAAATGATACAAGACAATTAAGAATATTTAATTGAGAAACTTTTTGTGAAAACTCAACTTTTAATATTCGTAATTTTTCATGATAATAATTTGTTAAATTATGAGATGTTGGTGATAAAACATCTGAAATACAAATTTCTAATTGATAAAGATTAGGTAATAATGAAAGAAGTAGAACAAAATCTTTTGTTGTACAATTTGTTATTAATAATGTTCGAATATTTATACAGGATTTAAGTGGATAAATGTTATCATATAAATTAATTTCAAATAAATTACAAAAATTAAGTTTAAAAAATTGTTCATTTCCAAAAAGAATATTAAAAATAATTTTTTGATCTTTTCGATTAATTATTCCAAGCCATAAACGAGAAAGATTAGGCATAATAGGAGAATTTATTGATAATAATTGATTTCTGGTTGGAAGATAAATTGTTAATGAACGAAGGTTTAGAAAATATTTTAAATTCAATAATGGATAATAATCAACATGAATATATATTATTTGCTTAGAAAAATAATACAAAGCATTTAGTAAACATTTATTTGTATCTTCATTTTGATGAAGAAAAACACCTAGACGAACATAACGTAAAATAAAATTTAATCGAAAATTAAGATTAACAAAACCATTAAATAAATCCATTAAGGAAATATATTGAAAGATTTCAATAATTAATTCATCAGGCATTAATTCAAATCGACTTAATTTAAAAAAGTATTTTGTTGGTAATGGAATTATTCGTTTTACATTCCTTGTAGAATGTTGTCGATAAATACAACTTGTTAATTTACTAAGAAAATTAGGCATATTGATTATCTAAAGAAAAATAATTTTATATTAAATGAAACAGATTTATTCATTAAAAATTTATTCAAATAATAATGAACAACTTTTTTTTTTATTTTTTATTTCAAGACAATTCAATATTTCAATCTTTTCATTTAGCAAAGATGAATAAAAAAATTCTTGTTTCACCTCAAAAATATTTTAGAGTTTTTCTTTTTCTATTGAAATGAAATCAAGGAGTAGTTTTGCAGCTATTATCCATGAACTCTTTTTGACGACATATTTATATCTTATATAGTAAACTTATAAACAGTTCATTATTGCTTCTATAAAAATATATATTTATATGTTCAGATCGATGAATACAAAATTCATATACAACTACAACGGACTTATTGTATCGTATTACATGGTTCAGTAATAATATTATGATCATACATCTTCGTAACCATATATGTAACAATATGCTTATTTATGGAAAAAAAATTCAGAGAAATTATTATAGATGCCGAGAACACGAGAAACAGTACTATATATATGCTGTCGTTTAATACAGTTGGTGGTCATAAATAGCAGCTGTAAATTGACGCTTGGCAGGTGCAGTATTACGACTGTATTTTATCGTACTGTACACTGTTGATAAAGGTTGTCAAGTGGTCTGAAAATTGAGTATCTAACCATTTACCATGATGAAATAGGGTTGTTATATTTCGCCTAGTACACAATGTAGAAACCATCTTAAATGGTCGCTAATGATCGTACTTATTTGACTTGGGATGAAGCAAAATGGAAACGATATATGAAAGTCGCATATTAACAGAGTAAACTGCAAGTATTTTTTTCTCTGTAAATAACCGTATTTCTTCATATATAGTCGTTTACAACGATGTTTGTTTGACCTCATTGAATTGAAAATATGATGAAGAAATGGTATTAAAACTAAGCGTTCGAAATTCATTAGAACTTGTTCTTAACACAAAAAATCCGAACTGTTCGAAGAAACACATTTTTCATATCTTGTTTGATCATATTTGAAAGATATATCTAAAGTCCTTTTACTTCAAGGTTAATCTAACCTACAGAAAAAAATATCTTTAAGATAAATCAGAAAATTTTTCAATTAACTATTGATTAACAAAAAGAAAAAAAAATAAGTTCGGATAATATTACCGCGTGAAATAAAATCAGTGTTTGTAATTTTTTTTTAATGATATAATTGATCTGATAAGCATATCTTGTTTATATCATGTGATATGTGTTTTGTCTTTCACATGTTTTTTTTTTCTTTTTTTCTTTTTTCTTTTTTTATACTAAACTGCATGAAAGTATGTCAACAATAAGAAAGATATATCATGAGGGGGATGATGAAACA